GGTTCCTGAAAGCGAAGTATAAAGGCAAGAAGTTGTGACTCTAATGGCCAGTTCACCATACAGAAGGTAAATGACTGCCTCCATCTGATGAATGTGACTCTGCCAGTTGAGCTGTCATTGACTTAACAATGAGTGAACTCTGATGGAATTATAATTGCAAAGGTGGAAGCAGTTCAAACTTTGTCTACATTGGTGAGACCGCATCTGGAGTACTGTGTACGGTACTGGTTACTGTACTTACAGAGGATGTTGATGCATTGGAAGCTGATCAGAGAAGGCTTGCTAGACTAATATCTGGAATGGGTGGATTACCTTATGAGGAAAGAATAGACAGGCTAGGCCTATATCATCTGGAGTTGCGAAGAGTCAAAGGTGACTTAATTGAAATATACAAGATCCTGAGAGGACTTGATGTTCGATATTGAAAGGATGTTTCCTCTTGTAAGGCAAGCGAGAACTAGAGGTCATAGTTTAAAACTAAAAGTGGCCGCCCATTTAAGACAAAGATGAGGAAAATATTTTTCTCTCATAGAGTTGAAAGTTTTTGGAATCCCCTTCCTCAAAAGGCAGTGAATGCTAGGCATGAAGACAAGGGTACTGAGGACACAGGTTTGATCGTTTTACAGTTTGGAATTCTCAATTAGGTTGCTGTTAATCCACACTGCCTTATTCAGTTTGAACAGAAAACTGCAGCTTTTGAGAACAATATGTTGAATTCATGATCATGTGAGACTGTCTGTCTAGATACGTGAAGCTTTCAACAACCTCCAGCGTCACACTGTTAATACTGATTGACAGTGGTAGTCAACATGCATTATGTTTACTTTCCTGCTGTTAATAGTTACGCTAGCTGACAATGGGCCATGTCTCCAAAAATCTAGGGTGTAGCCCCACTCCTTTGTAATTTGGCTGCAGTTGTGTTGGCTATATGTGACAAAGCTCTGTACCTGGGACCTTGCTAGGCTATATTGAAATGTAGGAAGTCCCTCATTGTCATGAGGAGCCACAGACCAGATCTCTGCCCACTGCCTTCTTTAAATCAACACCGACTCAAAATTCCAAATTCTGTACTCAGGAACTTTTAAAATTACTTACCATAAGGAACAATGCACAGTTGCCCCCTGACCTACTCCGAAACCAAAACATAAGTAATAGTTAAAGAATCTGTAATAAAAGTAAAATTGCACTAAAAAGATGAATACAAACATATATTTGATTATCTTGTAGAGAAGTTCCACAGGTTCAGGAGTTAAAGTCTCCAACTTACCATCTCCTTCCATCAACATACCCTAGCTCAAATTAACTACCACTTCTCACCTCCACGTAGCATGAGTTTAATGACTTTGAAGTAGGCATCACTTTGGAACAACGCAACATTTATTTAGAAATGAGCAATTCCTTTTCTAAAAGTGGCAATGAAAAAGGCAAGTTACACACAATACCAATCACTGACAAGTACATTAGCCCTTGAAATAAGTTGGAATTGGATGTGAATTGGCAAACTATGGTACAGCTATATAAAATCCGTTAGGCCGCATTTGGAGTATTGCATGCAGTTTTAGTCATCACACTACCAACTTTGGAGAGAGTGCAGAGAAGGTTCACCAGGATGTTACCCGGTCTCAAGGGCATTGGCAATGAGGACAGGTTAAAAAGACGAGGATTGTTTTCACTGGAAAGATGGCAGCTGAGAGGACACCTGGTAAAGGTCTACAAAATTGACGTGTAGATAGGGTGGATAGACAGAGGCTTTTTCCCAGGGTTGAAGTTTCAATTACAAGGTGGCACAGGTTCAAGGTGAGCGGGAGAAAGTTTAAGGAAGCTGTGCAAGGGAAGTTTTTCACGCAGAGAGTGGTTGAAGCCTGGAACGAACTACCAGAAGAGGTGGTGGAAGTGGACACATTGGTGACGTTTAAGAAGCGTCTGAATGGTTACATGAATAGGGAGGGAATAGAGGGATATGGACCGAATAAGGGCAGAAGGTTTGTTTTTTAGTTTAGTTAATGCATGATGATCGGCACAGGTTTGGAGGGCCGAAGGGCCTGTTCACATGATGTACTTCTCTTTCGTTCTCTTTTGTCTTCCCGAGTTGAATTTTCTCCATCTGCATAGAACATGTTGAATTTAAGCTTTAAGGTGAACGCATGCCTGAAACAGAAGGCTGACTAACTTACTTTACTAATATCACGCCTGCCTGCATTTCTTCATCTTGTCACAATTAAGTTTAAAAAGTACTCAAAGTATTAAAAATGGCTGGGCGATAGCAAGAACTGCAGATGCTGGAGTCAGAGTCAATACAGTGTTGGAGCTGGAGGAACACAGCAAGTCAGGCAGCATCAGAGGAGCAGGAAAGTTGATGTTTCAGGTTCGTACCCTTCATCAGGACTTGGCTCATTATGAGGTCATCACAAAATAATCTTTTTTTTAAACAGAATCCCTACAATGCAGAAACAGTCTATTTGCCCCAACAACTCTACACCAACCATCCGAAGAGCATCCCACCCAGACCCAACCCCCTACCCTAGCCCTCTAACCCTGCATTTCCCTTGGTTAATGCACCTAACATATACATCGCTGAAAATGGCCTGTTAGCATAGCCAATCCACCAAACGTGTACATCTTTGGAATGTAGGAGAAAATTGGAGCACCCAGTGGAAACTCCACACAGACAGTTGGGCAAGGGTGGAATCAAACCTGGTGCTATGAGGCAGCAGTTCTAACCACTGAGCCACCATGCTGCCCCAAAGCAACAGTTTACAAGCTACAGTTTACTATGCAAGGATGAGGTAATTGAATGCTGTCTAAAAAGCTTGCAGTGCAAGGTTTAGGGTAACCCCAGGAAAATAGGTCTGCAAGGGTTGGTGAAATAATAAGAATTCCCCATCATGAGGAAATTAGTGCATCCTAGCCAACCAAACATTGCTTAAAATTTGAGTTTTCCAAAATGAAGTGTTAGTTTTGTCAATGAACCTTGCATGTGGTGATGAACATCCTTGACAGTCTAACTGAAATTAAGAGCAAATCCGTAGACATCACATTGTGTGAAGTTTCAATGGTACTTTTCATTTCAGATTTACTCGATGTAATTGGAACTTCCTGTAGTTTTGAATGTCTGCATTATTCCCTTGTGCTATTGTTGTACAGTTAAATGAGGGCATTAAGGATACGAAGTTTGGAATGGGGTGGGTGGGGGTAAATTAGCCAACATTCATTTAAAAATTTTCTGCAGGTCTTCAGTAAATTTTCCATAAGTCTCAAAGAAGATTTTAAAAAAGTAGCAAAGAACGATAAAGATGGAAAGACATGCATTTATGATCATTTGGTGATGCAGAACTTGACAAATTGCAATAATAAAGTCTAAGTTTGTTGAAGCTATTCATCTTTCGCTCATGAGGACATTTGCAAGGCTATCATTTCAAGGGATATACCAACCAGAGGAGAGTGCATGTTGGTTGCCAGGTGGATTCTGATTGGTAGAGGCGTTGCCATGAAGGATGCACCGGTTAGTGGTGATTATTAATGAACTAACAGGCTTTATTTAAATTTTAAAGCAGACAAGTTGACTCTAATTAGTCAGGACGTTGTCCTGACAAATGGGACAGCGAATGGCTATCTGCCATCTGTTGAACTGAAATAAGCACAATGCATGTGCATGTTCTTTCTGTCAAAGAATAGGACTCTGTATATTACGTGTAAGTGCACCATCCTGTGAGCCTAACTGACAATCCTAGGTTGATTGTCAGCATAATTCTTTGCACCCTCAAAATTACCCAACAAATGTTGGCTAATTACAGAATGACATCTAATGTCGGACACTACATTGCATGTTTTGCCAGTGAAGGCTGAATGGGCATGTTCCTTGTTTGCAAAAAGCTAAAATGATATACTTTTTGATACCATCAGGAGCCTTTGAGATGTATGGTTTGCATACCTGGTATCACACCTAGCAGTTAACTGTCGATCAGCATTAATGGGTGCAATCTCCATGGCAATGCCTCTATCCGAGGCCACTTGCCAAACAATTAGCACACTCTCCATGTTCAGTATAAATATTGGTTTTCCTCTTTAATTGTTATTCTTACAAATTGTCCTAATGAATTCCAGAGAAAAAGCTTTGAAAAAATGCAATTTTTTCAGCAATACTTGTATTAATATGGTTACCATTGCTGCATGAATATGTTGCAAGTTTGACACTTCATACACATGACAGTTCAGGTGGTGATATAACGCACAACTTAACACAAAATCCACGTTCAACAATATCCTGTACTTACACCTCTGGAAGCTCACAATGCACCAGTCATAGCTGATGGGTAGCATTCTTGCCTTGGAGTCACAGTTGCAGATTCAAGCTCCACTCCAGAGACTTGAGCACTAAATCCAAACTAACACTCCAATGTAGTACTGAGACAGCGTTTCACTGTCAGAGGTGCTGTCTTTTGGGATGAGACATTTAAACAATAGCCATGTCTGCCCTCTTAAGTGGATGTAAAAGGCCATGTATTTTCAACAGCAAGCAAAATCTGCTTGTGGCCTTTGTGGAGGAATATTTATCTCTCAGTGAACACCTGTAATGATATTTATTTTACTTCAGCTTACAGGAACCTGTTGAGAATAAACTGGCTGTTGTAAATTCTACAATACCGCAACAACTGCACTTCAAAAGTACTTTATTAGCTGTAAAATGCATTGAGATATCCTAAAGTTGTGAAAACTGCTAAATAAAGTCTACGTTTCTTGCAGTGTGGTTCAATTCAGCTGAAAGATAAAAAACCTGTGTCTTCAATGATTACAGCTTCAATGCGTTTTGATATTCCAGAGTACTGGCAACAGATTTGAAAGTAAAAGCTCATAAGAATTTCATATTCATTCAGGAATCAATCCTGAAATCCTTGTTAGTTGGTTCATGTAAAAGGTAGTTCCAATACGTGAACAGCTGAAGAAAAAGCTCATCTCAAATTAATATCCTCACTAATTTCCTTACAGTCATGAAAACAAAATCATACAGAAACATTTTATTCAAATTTTGAAACAATTATATTAAGCAACATGTGGTCTTTGCAATGAATAATGTCTTTGCAATGAGGAATGAAACAGTTTCCACTGATAACTTAGCAAAAGCAATAGAGAGTACAAAATAGGAAATCTCATTGACAAGCCACAGGAAGACATTTGTTAAAATTATCAAGAGGAATTTCTCCCAAACTGTGTAATAAATAATGTATTAACAGTTAAAGTAATTATTTTACATCTCCAATCTCCTAAACAAGGAAGAAAGAATAACACAGCCCCATTCAGGTAAACATATTACAAGTGGCGCTGCCTGATTAATAGCATGAAATCTTCTAGCGATATTATTTATTGCTACTGAGACGGCAGCTCAATTATGGACAGTCAAATAAAATTATTGTCCTTTTTTCTCAACAAGAATTCTCTCCCAACAATTTTACTGTTTGAGCTTTTATATTTGAATCTTGTATGGAAATACAACTCATACAGTGGGAAAAAGACTCATGCCCTCCACTATCTAAATTCTCCTATCAAAGTCTATTCTCTTTAATATTTGAGTGTCAGCTTGGTACACATGGCTGCAATCTTATCTCAGAATTAGAAGGTCATGGATTCAAGCCATGATTCAGGTCTTGACCATAATCTAGGTCACAGCTTGAGTACAGTTCTGAAATGTTCTACTGTCAAGACACTGTCTTCTTTTAGGTTTGTTTATGGGATGTGAGTATCATTGGCAAGGCCAGCATTTGTTGCCTATCCCTAGTTGCCCTTGAGAAGGTGGTGGTGAGCTGCCTTCTTGAATTGCTGCAATTCATCTAGTACAAGTACAGCCATAGTGCTGCTGGGGGGGCGGCAGAGTTCCAGCACTATGACACAGCAACAGTGATGGAACTGCAATACAATTCCCAGTCAGGATACTGTGTGGATTGGAAGGAACCATCAATTTATTCTACCCTATAATATCAAAACATTTTCAAAGTCCATTGATTCATCACCCGTGTTCCTCAAAATCCATTCCCCCAATACACAAATTTTGTTATCTACTACCAAAACTCTCCTACCAAAGTCCATTTCACCACTCCCCAAACTCCATTATCTCATTATTCAACGGTAATCTGGAGATAAAACAAAGAATTGCAGATGCTGGAGATCTGTAAGAGAAACAGAAATTGCTGGCAAAACTCAGCCGGTCTGGCAGCATCTATAGGAAGAATGCAGAGTTAATGTTTTGAGTCCAGTGACTCTATCAGATAATCTGGATATCCCCATTTGATGGATTGTTTCTAAAATCAAAGTTGATTTTACATTCATATTATGTTCAGCTTGATTGCAGACATTCCTCCAGAGTATTTCATATGGCAGAACTTGAGAAAATAATGCATAAATGGCATAATTGTAACCAAGGAACAGATGCAAATAACATGTAAACATTCAAGATTTACTGTCCAGGGTGATTGATTCTGCCATTACCTCTATCACAATAGCACCTTGAATTAAGCTTGCCCTCCTTTTCTTAAAAAGATACGTCCATTTGCCCCTTGAACTCACCACAGCAAGTTAAGTCTTGTCATTTTAAGCATAAGTGTTCACTTAACATGATGTTAAGGGGTAATTGCTGCCAACTTGCTTCTCTGTCACCCAAAATTAATCAATACCAGTGGAATCTCATTCCTTCAAGCATGACAGTTTTGAAGAAAATATTTAAAATGCATATTTGAAATGGAAGTATTTTCTTATTTTTCTTGTCTCCTTTTCTCTCTCTTGATCTAATCCATGTTTCCCTATATTTCTTTTTTGATTTGACATTTAAAGAGGTGAATTCACTTACATGGCTTCTGCAATTCTTCCTGTGTTTATTTCCCAATTGTACAGCTGATTGATTAAGCAGAGGTCCCTATTTCTTTTACTGTCCCATTATCAGTCTGCATTTCTATCTATTTAGTGGACAAAAGGGTTTTGTGCTGAAGGATGTAGGGGTGAACCTAACTAATGGCAGATGCCATTAATATCCTGCTACAGCAAACTTTGAGCCAATTGTTTCATTGTCGATTGTTCCCATTCTGTTTCAATGTTTCAATCCTGACCTTGGTCCTTCATACAGTATTGAACGTCTTACCAGACATTCTCTATTGTATTTAACATTCCACAATTTGGGCTTATTAGTAAAAAAAAAAAAACAGAATTTTTTGTGCCTTAATTTGATTAGACTACTGGTTCCAATTGGTTTATATTTCACTATTGTCCAGGTGAAGATCGAGCCCTTTTCTGTACAATGTTCAGAATCCATAACAGATAATAAAGTTGAGGGTGTATATTATTAATCTTCAGTGTGTAAGTTGATAATCCTCATTCATTCATCTGTAGTCCTGTCTTCCTCGGAGAAGAGATCTGCTAGGTCCCCCACAGTCAGAACAGAGGCTTCTGACTGCACAATCATGGACTTGTTGTGACTAAAGACCAATTCAGAAAGAAAAATTAGTTTAGTTAATTTCTAAAGCATCAAACATTACAAAATGTCGAAGTTTTAAAAAATATTTCTGTCACTCCTTTTAGAACCTCAGGATGCTATAATACATTTTACAGCCAATGTAGTGTAGTTTATTGTAATGCAAGGAATATGGCAGCTAATATATGCACAACTGGATCCCACAAACAGAAATAACCTGTTTTGAGTGCTGAGGGATAAATCCCAACACTGAGGAGCACCTCAACGAAATAGCACACTGAAGGAACACTGCATTGTCAGTGGTCTGATCTTTTGATGAAATATTAAAATGAGGTCTGTTTCGCCTCCCAGATGAGGATAAAAAAAATCCCGTGGCACAGCAGGGAATTATCCTTTAAGCCCTGAGTAACATTAATCTGCCAAGAAACATTAATAAATAAAGATCTACTAATTACCAGATTTTCAAAGATTGAGGGATATGTGTTGGTCAAGACACCAAGGATCATTCGCCTGTTCTTCAAAATATTGCCATGGGATCTTTTACAACCACCTGAGGACACTGGTGACATTAAATTCAGGCCATCAGAGATAATACCTCCAATAGTGCAACACTCCTTCATTTCCGTACTGGAGTACCAGCCTTGATTTTTGTAGTCAAGTCCTGGAATGAGACTTGAACCCCATACCTTGTGACTCAGGGATGAGAGTACAACCAACTGAATCACAGCTGACATCATATCCTTATTCCCTAGATTCCCTTAATATCCAAGAATCTTTTGTTATCTGGGCATCCATAGCCCCACAAGGTTGGCTAAGACAGCACTTGAATAGTCAAGTCCAGAAGTAACAAAGGTATGGATGAATGTACAGTAGACAAGCTGAGGCACAAATATAAACTGACACTTACAGAGTTGGGGACAGGCTTCATCTTGAAGCAGATGTATGAGTGGAACAACATGTCAGGGTCAAATAGAACACCAAGGTTTGGAGCAGAATGGGTCACCCTCGGTTGTTGAATGAAGAAAAGGATGAATTGGGAGGCTGAAGAATGGAGTTTGTGGCAGACACTGAAGGCAGTGTTAGTTAGGTGAAGATGACTCCAATGAAAGCAGAGTTATCCATTGATTTTTTTAAAAAAAATTTAATCATGGGATTGGGTGTCCCTAACTGCCCGGGAGATGATGGTGAGCTGCCTTCTTGAACTGCTGTAAAGATATTTACAGTGCTGTTAGGAAGGGAGTTCGAACAGTAAAGGAGCAGCAACAGAGTACCAATTCAGAATGATGTGTGACTTAGAGGGGTACCCCGAGTTTATACCAGAGAAGCCTTGGTGAGTTACTGAAGAGCGTTTTGTAGATGGTACACGCTGCTAATAGTGTACACTGGTGCTGAAGGGATTCGATGATGAAGATCTCAGTGATTAGCACTGCTGCTTCACAGTGCCAGGGACCCGGGTTCAATTCCACTCTTGGGCGACTGTGTGGAGTTTGCACATTCTTCCCATGTCTGTGTGGGTTTTCTCCGGGTGCCCTGATTTCCTCCCACAGTCCAAAGATGTGCAGGTTAGGTGAATTGGCCATGCTAAATTGCCCGTAGTGTCCAGGGCTGTGTAAGTTAGGTGGATTAGTCACGGGAAATGCAGGGTTACAGGAAAAGGGTAGGGGGATGTGTCTTGGTGGGATGCTCTTCGGAAGAGCGGTGTAGACTTATGTGGGCTGAATGGCCTGTTTCCACACTGTAGTGATTCTAGATTATTCTAGATTCTAGAAGATGGTGGATGGGATGCAAATCAAGCAGGCTGCTTTGTCCTGGATAGTGTCAAGCTTCTCAAGTGTAGTTAGAACTTCACTCATCCAGGCAAGTGGGGAGTATTCTGTCACACTCCTGACTTGTACCTCCTAGATGGTGGACAGGCTTTGGAGAGACAGGTGGTGAGTTAATTGGCGCAGTATTCATAACCTTTTGTACTTACAGTATTAATATCTGTCCATATAAGCCAAAAGCTTTGTAAAAGAAACAATCTCATTTTAATCTGTTAACAATTTCGAAACCTTTACACAAATGGGAATTTTAAGTGTAAGTTGGAAATTGAACACACCTTTTCTCAGTACTTTTAAGCATACTTTGCATCCTCTCCTCTATTGTTCCTTTAATTAGAAACCTATGAACAACTGTTGCCCTAGAAAGAGAAAGGGAGATTATTATACAAATAGAAATAATTCAAACATTGAATGGTATTTATAGAGCAGCACAAAGGACCTGGGATTCATATGACAGTGCAGTTCACTAATCCTTTTATTCCCAAGACAGATGACAACCATTGAGAGTGTTGTCACTTTAGCAGTTCTGAGGTTAACTATTTTTCTTTCCATCGATGCCACCTAGCCTGTTGAATTATCCAGAATACTTTGCTTTTATTTCACTTTTAGAAAATCTAAAGAAATTTAACGCAACTTTAAAACTATTTAGTAGATTGCTAAGTGGAATCAAGTGGACAGATTTCAAAGAAACAGCACTGAACTAAATGGCTTCCATGTTCAATAAAATTCTAAGAACAACATAATTCTTTCCTATATTACAACAGTAACTACAAAGTACTCTATCTGCTGTAAAATACTGTGGGATGTCCTCAGGTTGTGAAAGGCAATATAAATGCAAGTCTTTCTTCTTTTACTTTCAAGTCAATTTTAACTGTGTTTATAAAATTATGTACATTTAAAATGTCCCATGGCAATCCATTTGACACTACTGTGAATTAGGCTAAAAGAAAATCAGACAAGTTATACTCTAGACAGCTCCAAATAGGAAGCTAGGAAGGGCCATCTTACACAATCAATAACATTAATGGCAAACATTTTACATGGCAAAGCCATTAGAATAATTCTATAGATAAGGAAGCTAGTCAACAGTTGACCATGCTTTAGTTAACAATTTAAAAGGATGTGCTCTAAAAGGCTAGATGTGGCCAAATACTGCTAAAGAACGTTCATTACTTGAATTTATTTGGCACCTTTAGCTTGGTGAAACTTCCCAACTTCACAGACAATAAACCACATAAGTAGAAATTGGGAAAGGTGATATTAAGGCAGGTGCTCAAATGTTTGCTAGTTCGGAAGGCAAATCAGTCTTCTAGTGAAGGCAACTCACTCCAAACATCCAAATGATGCCCATCCCTGAAATTTGAAACTTTGTCTCCACCTGGGACTAGGGTGGAATGAACAGAGGTCAGACACACCATTATTTACACTGGCGTCACAGATTTTTGTCCCACAAATTTATCAGGATGGCAGCATGGTTGGAAAATTAAGGTTATGAGAAGAGAGCTGAGAATTTTGAGATAGTTTTCAATGACAAAAAAACTGTCATGAAATTTAGTTGAGAGTTTCACATTTATGAAGAGTTTCACTAAAAGGAACGGGGAAAGTCAATTTCATCTAGCTATCTATGATCATCAATTTAAAATTACTAGAAAATAAGAACTCAAGACAAACTATCCTGATATAGAGGGTAGTTTCAGCCAGGAATATCAAGAAATTGACCACATAACATAGGTGTATTCTTGGTTCAGTGTAGCTCCCTTGCTTCTGCGTCTCAAGATCAGGGCTTCAAGGGCCCACCCAAGAGACTTAAATACATAATCTAGACTCACACATCAATGCAGTGCTGAGGGAATGCTGAATTGTTGCTTGGTGCTGTTCTTTGAATGGGACATTAAGCACAATGCCATCTGCCTGCTTGGTTGGACATTAAAAACAAAATCTAGGCTGATACTTCAGTGAAGTACTTCTTCTGAAAGAATTTAAAGCACAGAAAGAGGCTCACTTCATTTTGATTACATTGGCATGAAAAGGGTTATTGTACAACAAAAATATCTGAAATGAAAAATATATTGTCATGTTATTCTCAACTACTGCTCACTTTGTTTGCCCAATACGATGGACTCTTCCTATTGCTTGTAGCTCATGAGCAAGGTTTAAAATAGGTTCCACCAAGAGTACATAGGTAGCTTCAATGATGTTTAAACCATTCGATGCTGTATGGAGAGGCAGTAGCAAAATGTTGATCTTGGAATCATATTTAAAAGCTGACAGATTCTCCTGAAAGATATAATAAACATTCGTTAACTAGGTGAAAAGGAAGTTATCATTGGGCCTGATAATGGAAAGACTTTACAGTTGGATGTTGTGTCAGAGCCTCCAGTTCATGCACATTAAATTACCTCCAGTCATGTTCTGTTGGTAAAATGACCCAGATGTAACTTTCAATCTTGTACATGGCAGGAGTGAAGTTTTCCACTGTTATTTTTGATTAAGTGATTTTCTAGATCTTCTCTATTATTGAAAGAGTCTGATGTGTGCTGGGTACTGTACCCAAGATCCTCTGTTAATAGCTCTGACGTGTGCTGGTATAGCTCCTGACATGCCTCTGGTAGAAAGTGCCAGCTGCCCACAAATATTTGAAAATACCGATTTTTGTTGGGCAACATTTCTTGCACTTAGGACGCCCTGTAGAATCTTGTCGCATGTGGCCACTGTATGTATGTGAACATATAGCAGAGATTATTACATTTTTTGGTGCATTCACGATCACTAACCAAAGTGATTCTTTCAAAGTTTACTTCTGACTTCATAATCCACTTCATTTATGTTCCTTAACATCATGTGGTGTAGTACCACTTTCCAAGCTGAACACATTGTCTTATCTGAAACAATAACTACAAACATCTTCTTGAAAGTAACTCATCAAATCTCTACAAATAAAAAGATTTGGGGAGAATGCAGGAAAATGAAACAATGCTTAAAAAACTTGAGAGGAAAGGGGGTCATGGAAAATCAGGCCTCGGGAGGGAAAGGCATTGCATAAAATTGGGCCCAACAAGGAAAGAGGGTCAAGTAAACCCAACACAAGAGGAAGAGCTTCAGATGTAGACTCAAGGTAGAAGGGCTAAATGGTCTCCACCTTTAGGTAAGGAAATTGCTCTCCTTACCTGGTCTGGCTTCTGTGTGACTCCAGACCCACAACAATCTGGTTTACCCTTAGCTGTTCTTGGAAATGACCTAGCAAGCCAGTCATATCAAACACTGCATAGTCTAAAGAAAGGCATGAAACTGGACAGATTACGTGGCACTGACTCAGTCACCAGAAACAAACAATAGTAAACACAGCCCTGTCAACCCTGCAAGGTCTTCCTTACTAACATCTAGGGGCTACTGTCAAAAGTGAGAGAACTGTCTTACAGACAAGTCAAATAACAGCCTCACAGTCATCCACATGGAATCATACCTTACATGCAGTCCAAACAACACCAATAATGTCCCTGGGTGTGTCCTGTCCCACTAGCAGGACAGAACAGCAGGTGCACAATGGTATACAATCAGGAATGAGTTGCTTTAAGAAACCTCGATATTGATGTGCCTCACCCCATGGCATTAGATCAAACACACGCAAGCAACATACTGCTCATTACCACGTACGGTCCTCCCTCTGCTGATGAGTCAGCACTTTTCCATGTTTAGCAAAACTCACAGTAATATTGAGGGTGGGAAGGAAGTAGAATGTATTCTGGATGGGGGACTTCACCAATGTCCATCACCAAGAGTGGCTTGGCAGCAATACTAGTGACTGAATTGGTCAAGTCCTAAAGGACACAGTAGCTAGACCGAGTCTGTGGCAGGTGGTGAAGGAACAGACAAGAGTGAAAAATGTGCTTGACATCATCCTCACTGATCTGCCTGCCACAGATGCATCTGTAGGTGAGAGTATTGATATGCATGACCACCACATGAAGTCCTGCCTTCACATTGAGAATACCCTACATTGCGTATCATGGAATTGTCTTTAAACAGATCCACCAAATCGAAACTGGACATCCTTGAGGTACAAGGTGCAGAGCTGGATGAACACAGCAGGCCAAGCAGCATCATAGGAGCAGAGCTGCTTGGCCTGCTGTGTTCATCCAGCTCTGCACCTTGTTGTCTTGGATTCTCCAGCATCTGCAGTTCCTACTATCCTTGAGGTACTGTAGGCCATCAGCTGCAGAATCGTACTCCACTGCAATCTGTAATTTCATGGTATAGCATGTCCCCCATTCTATCATTACCATCAAACCCAGAATCAACCCTGTTTCAAAATGTTCAATGAAGAATACACGAGGGCATGCCATGAGATGTATCAGCATATCTAAAAATGAGGTATCAACCTGGCAAAGCTACAAAACTAAACTGCTTGCAGGCCAAACAGCAAAGTAGCGACTGGGAGATGAGGTAAGTGATTTCACAGTGAGTAGATCAGATCCAAAATCTGCAGTCCTGCCACATCCAGTTTTGAATGGTGGTGGATTATGATACAAAGCACTAGAAGAAGAGGCTCCACATATATCCTCATCATCAATAATTGGGTAGGCAAGCACATCAGTGCAAAAAGACAAGATTGAAGCATTCCCAACAATTTTAAGCCAGAAGTGCCTAGTGGATAATCTACCTTCGTCTCCTCCTGAGGGCCCGAACATCGGAGGTGCCAGTCTTCAGCCAATTCAATTCACTCCACATGATATCAATCAACAGCTAAATGCACTGGATACTGTAAAGGCTATAGGCCTTGACAACATTCCGGCATTAGCTCCAGAACTTGTGCAGCCCTAAGTCAAACTTTTCCCGTGCTGCTACAACACTGACATCCGCTTGATAATGTAGAAAATTGCCCAGGTTTGTTTTATATATAAAAAGCAGAACAAATTGTTACCCCATCAGTCTACTCTCAATCATCAGTAAAGTGATGGAAGGTGTCATCAGAAGTGCTATTCAGCAGCACTTGTTTAGCAATAACTTGTTCAGTGGTGCTCAGTTTGGGTTCCACCAGGGTCACTCAGCTCCTAACCTCATTACATCCTTGGTCCAAATATGGACAAAGAATGAATTCCAATTAGATGAGAGTGACTGCCTTGACATCGAGGACACATTTGACCAAGTATGGCATCAATATGCACTAGCAAACCTGGAGTCAATGGAAATCAGGGGAAAACTTTCCACTGATTGGAATGTATGTGGCACAGAGGAAAATGGTTGTGGTTGTTGGAAGTCAGTCATTTCAGCTCCAGGACATCTCTGCAAGAGTTCTCAGGGTAGTGTCCTAGGCCCAACCATCTACAGCTAATTCATCAATAACCTTCTGTCCATCATAAGGTCAGAAATGGGAATTTCCCTGATGATTACACAACATTCAGCACCATTCATGATTCCTCAGATACTGAAGCAGTGTCACAGAGTCAAAATCCTGGAACTCCCTCCCAAACAGCCTTGTGGATCTACTTACATCAAATGGGCTGCAGTGGTTCAACAAGGCAGCTCACTACTACCTTCTCAACAGCAACCAGGAATGGTCAATAAATGCAGGCCTAGTCAGTTACATTCACATTCCATGAATGAATAAATAAAAGAAACCATGTTAAATCTCTGGGTATTTGAATGTAGTAAAATTCTCTTAGCCTCACAGACCTCCAGTGAGAAAGGTTTCTAAGAATATCAGGAAACGTATAAAGTTGTGTAGTTTTATTATTGGAATAACAATTGGAAGACTAGATAAATAATTCAAGACCATGTGTTTGGATTCAATTTATAAACTCTGGAATGTAAATGCGGATAGCAGTAGAAGTGAGCCTGAAGCTGTTAAGATTTTCGTGTGGTTGGCTCTTAACTGTTTTCTGAAATAGTTGCAGTCCATGTATCATAGAAAAACAGGCAACTGGGATTAAATCAATAAATAACAGCTCGGCCAGTGATGAGAATTAATACTGTTTCATTTCAAGTTAATCCCCTGGTCAGGCATACATTTTCTGGATTCTTGATATTGATGTATTCCAGCAATCTCCAAATAACTAAGTCTTCCCTTACCTGGAACCTGTGAAGTCCATTGATCTGAACAAACTCCATGTTATTATCCAACAACGCTTTCCCAATTATATCCAACACATCCTGCCACTGTAAAAGTAACAGCACAAAATTCAAATTTGGAAAGAGCAATTAATTGAAACCTTGTGAATAATGAACAGCGATCAAAGTCATATAGCCTAAAATATTGTCTTACACGTATCAGAGTGCACTGTGGACAGATAGAAAAGGATAGATTTACAAATGCCTAGTCAGTGGGGACTATATACTTTGTATTTGATTAAAAAATGCTGGTGTTTATTTGGTATTGTTCACATCCTCAAGGCATCTGAAAGCACTTTACAGCTAAGGCAGTACATTTGAAGTGTAGTTACTGTTATAAGGGAACAAGACACCTTTGACCATAAGTCCATCAGGAAATGGTCAGCACATGGCAATCTTGAAATCCTGTGGAAGAAGGGGAGGGTGGATCCCGTCGCATGGTTCCCTGAGCTGACTGTCAAAAGCATTTGGCAGACTGCCTCATCACCAGAACTTTCTAACAAGTACCAAGATATAGCTTGGCTTGTGGTGAGAAGGGCACTGCATGTCAGCTCCTTCATGTAGGTCTAGTTGTTGTGTGCCACTGCATGCTGCCTCAAAGTGACTGCGCTGGTGAAGAGACTGTCACTTATCTCCTTCTGAAATGTGCCTTTACAAAGGAAGTCTGGAGAGGAGCAGTGGTTTTTGTCGAGGTTCATCCAAGCAGCTTGTAATGCATGGCTGTGTACTCTATGGGCTGTTCCCAAGGCCACACACAGAGACAAATGTCAACTGTGCCTGGAAGATCATCAACTCGGTGAAAAAGACTCTTTGGTCTGCTGGAAACTTGTTGGTGTTCTCGTCTAAAGAGTCTACCTCAACCCACTGTTGCAGACTGGCACATTCCAAGATCTAGCACTGCGTTCCGAGAGACACACTAAAGCTCAGAGCAGCTGCTACCATGGAACAGTGGGGAAAGACCACAGTCTAAGATCTTCCAGCCAAAGTATAGCGAGGGGCTGTTCAGTTGTCAGACCCTCTAGGTGCCTCAAAATGAACATGAATAGTTTCCTGCATAAGGAGAAAAGGCCTTTACTTTTTGCAACTGGAGAGAACTACTGAGAAATGTCAAAATTCCAATGTTTTGTTTGTTTTTTCTCGCTGCAAAGACTGTACTGATAATGACTTAGAACCTTTGTACGTACTCATGGTTGATTTTTACTGGATACTAGATATCCCTAATATCTCCAGAGAAAGTGATGGCGAGGCTCCTTCTTGACTGGCGTGTTTGACTCTGAATATAGTTATTGAGAGTCCGGACTGGGTCAACATGGCAGATTTACTTCCCTTTGTTAGACTAGTGAACCAGTTTGGTTATCTCAGTAATTCATGAATGTAATGATCACTATTTCTGATACCAGCTTTTTATTGAATTATTAATAATTTAAATATTCCCAACTTCCAGTGTGGGAGGAAAGCTCATGTCTCTGGATCATTTGTCCAAGCATCCATGTTTCAGTACAATAAAATCACCGTTCTGCTGTAGCTGTTGACTCAGTTTGAAACTTACACCCTGTATCTTCCTAAGAAAGACATTTCTTCCTTGAGCACACAAAGTCCTAATGAATGTGAAGCTGAATTTTTATCTTGTTACTTAACAATCGCCAAATTGAGTTGTTAAAACCTACTGTAGAGAAGACCAGGGCCTTAGCTTCAGGCTCCTTTTGCTGGATTTTCTTCAATGTCCTGAGCACAGCCTCCACTTTGGTAGAATGGCTACCCTGAAACAGAAGGCACAACTCAAAGCTTAATGGGGGCATGACTGAAGCCAACCACCAGATCTAAACTTCTGAATCTGACTTTAATTACAACAGCAAGCTCCACTGCCTCAAAATTGGCTGACTGCTTGTCTAACATCCAGCCTCGGACGACCCACAAGTTGTTCCGTTCACTTTTAAGGCTAGAGCCTTTGCCTTTTGTTCCCAGCATGATTCTGTAATAATACTACCCATTTCATGCAATTTCCCAGTTCCTATGAAACTCCACATCTTGTCCATCTCACTTTCCCCTCCATAAAATTAACTGCCTCCCCACCCTGCAGCTCAACTATTATTCTTTGAAATCTTTTTTTTCATTCATTCACAAAATGCAGGTGTTGCTGGCCAGGCCAACATTTATTGCCCATCCTTAATTGCCCAAAAGACTGTTAAGAGTCAACCACATTGCTGTGGACCTGGAGTCAGATGTAGGCCAGACCAGGAGAGGATGGCAGTTTCTTTCCCTAAAGGATATTAGTGAACCAGATGTATTTTTCCTAACAATCAAAAGTTTCATGGTCACCTTGAGACTCTTTATTCCAGATTTTTTAATTTAATTTAAATTCCACCATCTGGTAGGATTTGAACATGAATCCCCAGAACATTACCTGGTTCCTTGATTAATAATCCAGTGATAATACCAATAGGCCATCACCTCCTTTGTCACCTCCAGGTTCGACTGTTCCAATGCCTTATGGCTGACTTCTATATTCTACTTTCAGTGAACTTCAGCTTGTTCAAAGTTCTGCCGTCTAGTCCTGCTCTAGCACAGCTACACTAGCTCCTAATCCACTAATGCCCGAAATAAAAATTCTCACTCTAGTTATGGCTATGCTCTTTCTATCTTTGTAATCTCCTGCTTCATGTAGACAATGCTATAAAATGCTTCATTCCTCCAAATCTATTCTCCCTCCCTTCAGCCTTCTATTCCTGGTCATGCCTTCAGCCATATACTCTGCAGGTCGCTTCTGATACCACTTTTTCACACAGTATTCTCCTCTTACATCCTCCTTAAACTCAGCTCTGACAAAACTAATATTTCCTTTGACTTCATGTTCATTTTTGTCTGATTATGTCACTGTAGATCAGATTGGAGGCAGTTTCTTAATTAAAGGACCTATATAAATGCAAATTGTTGCAATTGCTTTAATGCTGCTGCATCTATACCAGATGAAGACTCATCCAAAAATCATTGGGTTTCTTAGTAAATTGGTCCAACAACAAACAGATCATCTCAAAGCAGAAAGCAATTAAGGTGCTAATGCTAAAATGCAAAAACAGAAATGCTTTACTCCAAGCAAGTGCAACATCCAGGGTTTTGTTCAGAACTACATAGAGGTAGACATGTATGTTTAAATTAAACCCTTGGAAATTTTAGATTTGTGGTGGAAAAATGGAAGTTTAAGGCCTTTTCATGGGTCCTCTTTTTTAGTGCATTGATCCTTCACGCAGGCCCTGCTATCAAAACAGAAGTACCAAATTACCATTACTGACATTAATTTGGCATAGTACTATATTAGATTTGTGAATGGTGAACAGATGAAAACAGTGCAAAGTTAAATCCCTTCAGTATGATTCTGAATTGCTCCTCCCTTGCCCAGTATTGCTCTCTTTTTATATCCCTTTTGTTTCAGTCTCTGCTTGGGATATATAAATTAACAATGATGCAAATAATTTTTAGAGGCCCCTCAATTCTGGCAGAAAAGATTTTATTGATTAAGGCAGCTTACTTTAACAGGAAATTCGTCTTCTTTGCTTGCAGCCTCAGTTGTGAATACGTAAGAGACTTCTTTGTGTGCTGTGGTCTGTCTGCAAATTGCACACTTGATAGCGCTTCGCCGAGCGCCAATACTGTACTGTTCTATTATAATGGCTATGCAGTCATTGCAAAAGCAGTGTCCACAAGTCAGTACAGCCCACTGTGAGTGAGAACAGAAAAGAGAACTGTGAAAGGAAACCGGCTGGATAATAAAATAAAGTGTCCATTGCATTGTTAAAAAGTTGGTGCAATAAAGAAACCAGTTTGTTTTAGTGTTTTTTTTCACAGCTTGATATAGGAGTCAGCTTTGGCTCAGTAGGCACCATTCTTGCTTCTGGGGTTTTTGACGTTCCTCCATCTGCTAGTTTGAAGGGGGTGGAGGCAGTGAGGCGTCCTGTCAATTAGCACCCACTTTGGTACCACATCCTACCACTGCCACTATAGTACTCACACAGGGTTCAATCTGCACCCAGAGGGTAGCACGGCTATTTTCACTGTACAAGCTAGTGCCAGCCAAGGTTGAAGGATGCATCATTGAGTCATACAGCACAGAAACAGGCCCTTTGGCCCAACATGTTTATGCTGACCAACAACCACCAAACTACACTAATACCATTTACCTGCACTTGGTCCAGACCCTACTGTGCCCTTGCAATTTAAGTGCTCTTCCGGATACTTCTTAAATGCTGCAAGAATAACTGCCTCCATCCCCCTCTCAGGCAGTGCATTCCATTTTTCTACTGCCCTCTGTGTGGTACTGTTCAGAATTGTTCTGAAGAAGGGTCACTAGACCCAAAATGTTAACTCTGATTTCTCTCCACAGATGCTACCCAATCTGCTGAGTTTTCTCCAGCAATTTCTGTTTTTGTTACAGGAATGGAAACTGGTTATGAGCAAACAATTTTTGAAAACAAACCCACTGTCTGATGAAGAGTTTCAGAAATTTGATGGAATTATGAAAACATTTCAACTATATAGGGATGAAGCTTTAAATTTTAAAAAATCTGGATACTATTTTTGTTCTAAACCTTGCTTAAAATGTGTGGAAGAAGTTCTGTATGAAACCTAACTATGAAAGTGCTGAATGAATGCACACATACAGCAGCCTCAAATACCCTGCTGCTAACTTACCTGCTGTCCTAATTGCCTTGAACAGATGGGACAGGGATCTGGATTGACACTGCCTGTTGAGGGATCCTGAGACTGAAATAAAATAAAGGATGGTCATTAATTTATACTTACTGAAAACTTCCTTTTTCCTCTGTTAATCCAAATAGCAGATGTTGCTGTAATTGTTATTTGGGTTCACATGAATTGATCAAATTACTTCTCTTGGGGTTGTACTTGCCTAACTGGATACAGGAACTGAGGGCATTGTTGCTAAGTTTACAGATGAGATAAAGATAAGTGGAGGGGAAAGGTAGTGTTGAGGAAGCAGAGAGGCTGCACAAGTTCTTGCGCATTCTAAGCCAGATGGCAAAGAAGTGGCAGATGGAATATAATGTGGAAAAGTGTGAGGTTAAACATTTTGGTAGGAAGAATAGAGGTGTAGACTATTTTCTAAATGGAAGAAGGGCTTTGGAAATCTGAAATGCAAAGGGAGTTGGGAGTCCTAGTTCAGGATTATCTTAACATGCAGGTTCAGTTGGCAGTTAGGAAGGCAAATGGCATTCATTTCAAGGGGTCTAGAAAACAAGAGCAGAGATGCAGTGCTGAGGCTATACGACCATAATTGGAATATTATGAGCAGTTTTGGGCTCTGTATCTAAGTAAAGATGTTCTGGTGTTGGATGGGATCTGGAGGAGGTTTACAAGAATGATCCTAAGAGTGGTTGAGGACTCTAGGTCTGTACTCGATGGAGTTGAGAAGGGTGAAGGGGTATCTGATTGAATACTGAGAGGCCTGGATACAGTGTAACGTGGAGAAGATGATTCCACCAGAAGGAGATACTCGAACCTCAGGGCACAGCCTCAGAGTGAAGGAATGACCCTTTAGAACTGAGGTGAGAAGGAATCTCTTCAGCCAGAAGGTGGCGACTCTGTGGAACCCATTGCCAGAGGGCTGTGGAGGCCAAGCCATTGTCTTTAGGACAGAGATAGTTAGGTTCTTGATTAGTAAGGGGATCAAAGGTTATAGGGAGAATGCAGGAGAATGGGGTGGAGGAGCATATCAGCTATGATGAAATGACAGAGCAGATTCGATGGGCTCAATGGCCTAGTTCTATATCTTATAGTCTTATCAGATTACTTCACCCATTGATTAGTACTAAGTATCAGATTAACAATTCCATTTTGGGTTAATACCAACCCAGCAGTTTGTGTGTTCCATCTCAGATTATCTGATTCATCCTAGATTAGCAATCCAGGTGCAACCATATTAGTTATTTCTTCCAGGATTATTAGTAATCTATCAGATAATTCTACTGTCTTGAGTCTAATTTAGCACAGGGTTGGCACAGATATAACGGGTGAATGGTCATCTTTTTTGTTGTAAACGTCCACTGATTTCACAGCATTAGGCAAAATATAACTGAATAAAGCTATGTAGGAAAAAATGCTGGAGTTACAAACAGTTAATCTGCTGTTCTTTTAACATGCTACATGGAAATTAGAATTGCAATCAATCCCAAGACTGACACCTAGTGGTTCATTTGCCTGCTGTCACTTTATCTCCAATTATCTGAGTCTCAAACAGTGCCAGTCACACGGATTAGGCCCGGCAGCATCAGAGGAGACGGAAAGTTGACGTTTTGGGTCAGGATGCTTCTTCAGAAATTTCTGAAGAAGGATCCTGACCCGAAACATCAACTTTCCTACTCCTCTGATGCTACCTGGCCTGCTGTGTTCCTCCAGCTCCATACTGTGTTATTTCTGACTCCAGCATTGGCAGTTCTTACTATCTCCCGTTCACATGGATTTCCTGATCAACTGCATTCCCATGCATTCAACTAGTCCCATTCACTTTCCCTTTCCACTTAGCTTTGAAAATGTTTCACGCTTAGATATGTATCCAATTTCCTACTCAATCTCAAACACATGTTCAGGCTGGGCAATCCAGCATATAACAACTCTCTGGAGTAAAAAAAATCTTTTTACTAACTTTTTGTCAATAATCTTAAACAGCTAATGATATTTACATTGTTTAGAGGTGGATCGGCCTAGGACATTGTTAGAAGCAATGCAGAGAAGGTTCCCTCAACTGATTCCTGGGTTGAAGGTTATATGAAGAAAGGTTGGACACGTTGGACCTGACCTGTTGAAGTTTAGAAGAATAAGAGATGATCTTACTGAAATATATGAAATCCAGAGGAGACTTGACAGCGTGGACACAGAAAGGATGTTTCTCCTTGTGGGAAAAACTAGAACTAGGGAGACACCATTTAAAAATAAGAAGTCTCCAATTTAAACCAGAGATGAGGAGAAATGTTTTCCATTAGAGGGTCATAACTCTGTGTAATTTTCTTCCCCAGATAGTTGGGTCATTAAATATTTTTAAGGCAGAGGTAGAGAGATTCTAAAGGGATCAGGGAAGGTTGGAAAGTGGAGTTGAGGCCACAATCAGATCAGCCATGGTCTTGTTAAATGATGGAGCCATCTCAAGGGCCAAAATTGTTTACTCTTGCACTTAATTCATAAGTATTCCAGCTTTAATTAAAGAATATTTAATTGTTGTACAGATCAAATTACTCTTCCTCTGAGTGGAACCCAGCTCTCCCTACCCCACTGATCATTTCAGGGTGCTGGTGAAAACTTGTTTGGGAGGGGGTGGGGGGAAGGATGTAGGGCAGCTGTGGGGGAGGTGTGGGTTGATGGGAGGTTCATGAAGGAACACAGGGGAGAAGGCTTTATTCTGCCCACGTACATTTGGGGGTCTTTCTTATAGAACTGTGCATTGTGTCAATTGTATGTCTTGTAGGTTCAAAGTACCAATGCTCACAGAGGGCTAATGATATCCGAGACACAGTACATGAGGCTTATGATACTATTGATTCCAATTCGATCATTGATCCCATATGGATCAACTGCTACTGAAAATCATTGTTGGCCTTTCCTTTCATTCCCGGAATGGTCCTAAACCATATAGCTACCAACAAAGAAAGACTAATGCAACAAGGTCCTCAGCTGTTATAACTTCCTGGTGGCCCTAGGGACAGCAAGAATCCACTGCCCAAATTCACGAGTGTTGCAGAGAAGGGGTGCCTGTGACCCACAGTTACAGATCTAAGCATTTGCCCATATGGGAATGACCTTAGGATTTGGAATGTTAAGGTAGTGGGCTGAAGCAAAGGTTGGATATTCTGGCCTAATGTGTGAGAACAGGTGTACTTTTGATTATCTTCTGCACACTCAAACAATCATTCTCACCTTCTCCAAATTTGTGAGGTAGAGCACTTGACCAAGTTTCTTCTGTAATTGTGATGTGGCTACAGCTTTGTCATTTAGGAGTTTTATTCGGTTTTGTTCCACCTGTAAAACATGCAACCATCATTTCTGTCCAACTTTCGGAGTTTGACATTTTCACCATGTATTAAACATTGTATTACTTTCTGATTTTACTGCTGGGAAAAGATAAAATGTACATTTCCTGCACATATATTGTATATATACATTTGTTTGTATTGCTGAGAGAAGGATCATGCTACGGCTTAGAATATCCTGTTCCTGCACTTGACTGTATTAGATACATAAAGTAAAAGGAAACTGTCTTTAAATTCCTCAATGGATTCACCAGCACCCTCTCTGAAATTGTCTCCAGTCCTACAAACTACCATAAACTCTCCAATTTTAGTTTTGTGTGCATCTGATTTCCTTCATAGATCAGTAGTTAGGCCCTCAGCTCTAGAATCCAAACCTCCCTATAAACATGTACAAGTCTCAAAAATAAGCAAACCACTGGAAAATGATGGTACTTAGTTCAAAGTAAAGAGAGAACTAAAGGGGAAATAATGAATCATTCTAACTGAGGTGCTGAGGAAAATATCAAAGTTACACAAAAAGTAAAGATTTTTTAGTTCCTTTCAATTAGTAGCAGGAGTAATTCCTCTATGCTGGCACAGAAAGAACAATTTTTGAAGAAAAGATTCCACTTGGTCCTGGGACCAGGGCAGGAAACAATCTGGTGGTGCTTATATAAAGCTCCTCAGAGAGTGCCTTCCAAACCACTACCATCTAGAAACACAAGGGCAGCAGTTACATGGGAACACCACAACCTGCCAGTTCCCCTCAAAGCCCACTGTGCTAACACAGAAATATATTTTTTCTGTGTTGCTGGGTCAAAATCCTGGAACTCCGCCTTCTTAATGGCTTTGTGAGTCTACCTACACCAAGATGGCAGCTCACCAGAACCTTCTCAAGTGCAGCTAGACATGGATAATAAATATTGGCTCAGCCAATATTCCCGAATGAATTAAAAAGAAAATCCCACACCACAGAAATTGCTTTACCCACTTCTGCCAAGGAATGAATCACAGATTTTTTTTGTTTGTTCATGGGAAGTGACCGTCATTGGCTGGTCCAGCATTTATTGCTCAACTTTAATAACCCTGGGACTGTGTAGCTCACTAAGCCATTTCAGAGGGCAGTTAAGAGTCAACCACGACCTGGTAAGGATGACAGACTTCATTCCCTAAAGGGCATTAGTGAACCAGATGGACACTTATGACAATTGACAATGGCTACATTATTATTATTAATTCATGTCTTCAGAACATTAATCCGGATTACTAATCCAATTATATTACCATATGCCATCACTTTCCCACACACGCTTTTCGTTGTGCAGGACTTCAGGACTTGATAAATGCACCATACATATTACACAGTATTTATAGCATAGATTTTGCCATTGAGACCAACTATTCCATGGCAGTGTTCATGATCCTGCTAGCCTCTTCCTAATCCTCCTCCTTGAATCAACATATCCTTTCATGTTTATATGCTTATCTAGATTATTACATATTCCTACAAATTCAAGTTTTTTATTCTCTTTTCATGTTCAGTTTCTAGCATACTTGAAATCTGCAGATCTAAACACAGCCTCTCAACTTCATACCTCATGTGACTCAATGATGTGAAGTACAGGAAGGTTTGGTTTGGGCTCGCCTGGAAGACGCACTTGAAAGCGTTCAGTTGCCATGGCTAATTCATCGATGGCAGAAACCCGATTGCGTAGTGCCATCCAATATTCATGGAGCAACTGAAGACACAAAGGGAAAAGTGTTTAGGAAGATGGATTGTCTACTTTCAGTTTCACATGTGTGCAGTCTTTATATATAGAAAGAAGCCATTAGCACCATCTTATTTTTTTGTCTTCCCCACATACTTAAAAACAAAACACTTACATTCACTTTTCTATTATTGATTCTGTTTGTAGTATAATTTCTGACAGAGCATTCCATATCCTAACAAAATTAGTCATTTGAAAAAGTTTCTTAACCTATTCTTTTGATGACAACCATGCCCTCTAGTTATGGTCTCAACAAACAGTGGAAAGTTTTTTTTCTATTTACATTATCAAAACCCCTCATTGTTTTGAGAACCTCGATTATGAATGTGAGAATTTAAAAGATGTTTATATTTTGAGACTGTTCCTTTAACTCAAGGAAATATGAAGGAATGAAGATGATGATGTGATCTGCTTCAAATTCTGCCTGACATCAAGCCTCAGGGGCTATATTACTATGGGGACAAGTGCTCCAGATCGCGAGGCTGGTAGCAATGTGTGATATGTCCACACCTGAAAACAAAAACAACAATAGCTAGTCAGACAGAAAACAGCAGCATGGACTGACTTTGGTCTCAAGCTTTTGGACAGAAAAGAGACCTTGAAACAGAGGTTTCACAGAGATAAAGGGCTCAGCTTATGTGGTTAGCAGAAAGAAGGCTGCACGTTCCCTGCAAGCTACCAAGTAGAACCCAAGAGTGAGGACAATCTCTGGTCAAAGACACTCATCTTGTGGCACTCTCAAGACTATGTTAGATTTGTCCTGGTGAGCAGGAGGAGAAATAGCCAAATGGAACTTAAAGCTGGAAATTATCCTATAAAACTGTAATCATGCAGAAAATGTGCTGTAGTATATATGTATGCAATGTGGGGTCATCAGTCACATTAAAGTTTTAGTAAGGGTATCTTCTTTACAGTATTAGTTGCTTACTAGGTAACATTTGGTCAATGTTGCTTTTAGTTTCTTTGTAAAAGCTTTCAAACTCAAAATTCTGTTGTGTAATTCTTTTAAGCTAGTCACTGGGTATTTAGATCACTTGTTTAAAGTTAATGTCTACAAGGACCATAACAATTTGTTCCAGAAAAATAATGTTGACCAGTTTCTTCAGTTTCTCCACATAATTAAATTCTCTCATCCCGGTTTCATCTCTTCTGCAGTGTTCCCGTGGTTTTGGCATCAGTCCTTGAGAAGGCTCGCAAACTAAACAGTATTTTAACTGGACCACAAGCAGTGATTTCTAACTTCACTTTTGTATTCTATGCCAGACTTTAAAAGAAAGTATTCAACTTGTTCTCCCACTTTCAATTATAATAAATGCTTTGAACTTGAGAATAATATGTGCATCATAATGATGTTCACGTGATTAACTGTCAAGTGTTGTAATTAGTTCAAGTGGATAGCTTAGTAAAAAGAACTAAGCTGCACAAAACGTCTACTTCTGTAGCAACTTTTATAACTTTAGGATGTACTAAAGAATATTACAGCCAATGAAGTATTTTCAAAAATCATTTATTGATTGCATTCCTGGACAGTTGTTTATTAGGAGCAGCTTCCTGCTTATTCATTGTTTACTTACCTCCTTATTCATTTAACTGTGTGGATGTGTGATACTAGTATAATTGAATATGCATGATTGATGATGTGACCTTGTAATTGCAACACTGAAGTGTGACAGTTGGATGGTGAACACAAGTGTTTCATGAAAACTTAAACGCCTTGAGTTCAGCATTTGTCTGTCATATCTTACGCCTGACTCAGTTGGTAGCCACACTTGCCTCCGAGTCAGAAGATTATGGATTCGAGTCAAAATCAGAATCACGAGAAAACAGATTAACTGATCACTAACACATTGCAGTTTGTGGGACCGTGCTGTGTGCAAATTGACTGCTGTGTTTCTCATGTTACAACTAATGACCACAATTAGAAAGTACTGTATTTAACTGGCTATAAAAGATCTGTGAAAGGCTTAATGTAATGCAAGTTCTTCCTTACTAAGTATTTGAGAGAAAATATTAACTATGATACTAACACTAATTCTATTTTACAGCTGTAAATAGAATAATTGTTTTACAAAACTATGAATAACCACATGTTGTAATCAAAATAATTGCACAGAAATATGTAGAAATGGTTTGAAGGCATCATGAAGGCTTTCTTTCAAAAAAAAAATCCCTTCAAATTTAAGGCTAATCAAATTATATAGATATAAAATAACCTGTAAATTTTTTAGACATCAGGGGACAGTATTTGTAGCTATCCTTACTTATAAAAGGTGAAGTAAACCATAGGAGTTAAATATCCCACAATTGGCTGAATTAGTTTCAGCATTCTTGCTTTCTTTTATCTTCTCCTAGAATTGTGTGTAGTTCTGCAGTGCTATCAAAGAGATGTGATTTCTGTTCTATTTTCTGTTCCGGCAAAATGGTGGCAGGGTAAGTTGCTCCATTCGGAGCTCCACTCTGCTCGTTTGTTCTCTTTCTCTTTCTTTCTTTGCCCTTCCTTTTTCTTCCTCCTTTCTTCTCTCTCCCTCTGTAGTAATTCTATCTCCTCACTCAACCCTTTTAACTACCTACCTAAAGAGTTGGGAAGGAGCTGGGTTGCGACTGGGAACCACGTGGTGGCAAGCCGAAAGCGTGGGTTGTGTCCTGCAGTGACGGTGGATCAAGTGTGGGCCACAGCGACGGTGATGGATCGTATGTGGGCTGGTGAGATCAGGCCAGTGAGGCAGCCCAGACCGGGCACTGGCAGCAGCATGGCGAGGGCTGGAAAGCCCGGAGTGGGACTGCGGCAGTGGAAAGGAAATTTGGACTCTCTGAAGTTATCTTTCCTTTTCTTATCTTATTCCAAGTTAATGTGACTGGCACCATGTATGTACGGCAAAGGTACACACTTTTCACTGTATTTTTACATTGAATATGTGACAATAAATGATTCAATTCAATTCAAACTTTATTTGTTGTTTTCTTGGTTCATCGCACCAGGAGGGGTTTGTCCACTGAATGAGCAATCTGGGATTCGCTACATAAATAGTCTGCACTGAAGTTCCAAGGGTCATGAAGCTACATGTAAGCAAGCTAAGCAAACTGAAACATTACACCACGGAAGGAGATCATAAGGTGCCACTCTCTCCTTTGTCCAAAAAGTCCTTCCATATTCCTCTCTTCTAGAGACCAATCCCTTTTCCTCTCAATTTAAATATTAATTTTTACCTCAAAGGGAAATTCTGATGAAGGACTCCAAGGTCTTGGATGTAAGTATAAGGACAGTCCTCTTCCCTTCACCCTTGGTTCTTTTACATTACCAGCTGCTCCTCTCTCAGTATCCTATTCCATGATGCTCTCAACTCTGCAAAGCACTGTTGTGTCCACTTCTATGTCTGGTCATGGCTACCTCGCCACCTCCTTCTACCTTAAAAACAAAGAAGAAAGGAGCAGGAGTAGGCCATTCGACCCCTCCAGCCTGCTCTGCCATTCAATATGATCACGGCTGATCACTGAGCCCAATAGCCCAATCCCACTCTCACCCCATATCCCTTCATCCCTTTAGCTACAAGAGCTATATCTACCTCCTTCTTGAAAACATAATGTTTTGGCCTCAGCTACTTTCTGTGGTAGTCAATTCCACAGTCTCATCACTCTCTGGTTGAAAAAATTTCTCTTCATCTCAGTCCTAAACAGTTTACCCCTTATTTTTAAACTATGACCCCTGATTCTGGGCTCCCCCACCATGGGAAATATCATTTCTGTACCTAACCTGTGTAGTCCTGTTAGAATTTTACATGAGATCCCCACCTCATTCTTCTAAACCCCTCACCCCTTTGCTCTTTGGGATTCCATTCCTCAGTCTTGATCTCTTCCTGCCTCCGATTTCCGAGAAGCCTCTCTCCTCTCGAAATGCTGAGATTCTGAATCATCTCTCCCTGATCTCAGAGACTCTTCAGCCCATCCCTACTATACTGCACAGAGTTACAGTTCTGTGGTCGAGTGAAGTCATGGAAGAAGGGGAGGAGTGTCAGGGCATATGCTGTGGTGGGATGTTTAATGCAATAATTGTCACGTAAATAATCCACAAGCATCATCCTGATGTCATTCTGACGTAGTTTGGTTTTGAGGAATGGGATCTTTAGCCAAGGAGAGAACCATGAAGTATTCAATCACAGAGATGGAATAGTTTTTTTTTCTATTGTTGTGAAAGCATAAAGAGATACCTATTCTGCACATATTTCTTTGGACATTTTCATCTGTTTTTTTCAGTTGCAAATGAACTTGGTGCATTGAAGATGGTGCATAGTTTGTCATTTGTCGTCTTTGTGATTTCAAGACGCAGCGTGTGTCTATATATTGTCAGGCCATTTGGTACTGTTTATAAGTATATTCATACAGGTTCCAAGTGATCATACCCAACTTTATCAACAGAATCCAGAGAAAAATGTAATTTTATCAATGGACTCAAGCAATTATTTTTTTCAAACAGGCAGATCAAATCTATATGCCATGTACCTTATATTCTTTTTTCCATAACTCAAACAGTTCCATAAAGATGTTCCCTTCTTCTATTAGCAAGGTATCAATTCGGTGCGCTTTCCCAAAAGCTAAGATGGCTTTTAAGGCACGTTCAGTCTCACTTGCAGCCCTCAGTCCACGACTAGTAGTTGGCAAACGTTCATCAACCAGGCCCTCGTCCTCTTCAATCATCTCTTCGAAGATTGCTTTCTGCCCTTTAACACTGAATAATGACAGAGTTTTAATTTTCCTGAATATAAAGTACACATTCTCTCTCTGCAGATTTCCTGTTTATCCCACCTTGGAGTCCAGCCCAGTCCCCAGAGACTTAAGCACAGTGTTGCAGACCCCAAGCCTTAGGAATTCTGCAACTGCAAAGGGACATTACTATAATTCAACAAACTAAAACCACAGAGCTTACAACTACAGGATATTGATAACTTCTCCTCTGCTTGTGCAGACAATGCTCCCCAACTGATTGGGCTATGCCGTCAGAGAAACCGGTCATGTGGAAACAATCCCAGCTTCCCACGGCAGTTCTGTCTATCCAACTGGTTGTTTGATCAACTGTGGCCTGGAACTGCTGGGCCCGATCCATTCCAATATTGTTTTACTAAGCCTACCTCAGGGGCACATCATTTGGAGACATCTCAATCCTCAACAGACCATGCTGACTTCCTTAAGGGGCTAGTTACCACATACAATTTAAGAAATGACAAGTGTGAATTTGAGCCATGGCTGGGGATAAAACAGGTACAAGAAGCTTTTTATGAGCAGCACAATTCACCATAAAACATGTGAGGCGTTGCTGCCAGCAACCTGATCATAGCACAAACACATGCCAAGCAACATTATATTAACAGAAGATGTAGCATATCACTCCAAGAAGCTTCACCGAAGTGTAATCAAACCAAATTGGAGACCGTGCCACATATTAATCCAGACAAATAGCCAAAAGCTTGGTCAAAGATGGAAGCGTCAAGTAAAAGGAGAATAAAGAATAGAGGTGGAAAGATTTAGAGAGGAAATCTTAGAGCATGGGGCTCAACTGCAGTAGGCAAGCTCATCAAAGGATCAAAATGAAGGAAGTGGGAGTGTACCAGCAGGCAGATTAGGAGGAATACAGTGATCTTGGACAGCTGTAGAATTAGACAGAGGTTAACAGAGATAGGGAGGCCAAAACGAATTTGAATGCAAAGCTGAAACTTCTAAAACAAAAAACGCTGGAATTACAGCAGGTCAGGCAGCATCTGTGGAGAGAGAGCAAGCTAATGTTTCGAGTGTAGATGACATTTTATCAGAGCTGAGATTTTAAAATATAGGCATTGTTGAAATGGGATCAATGTATGCCAGTGAAAACTGAGGCAATGGCTGAGTAACGTTAGAACTCTGATAGCTAGTTGGTGGAGGACACAGTACAGCAGCCTCCTCTCAACTTTTCTTATGTTGGGTCACTTTTCTATTTATTTGGAAGCTATCATTTAGAGAGACAGATATCACACATTCTGTAACTTCAACGTACTATCCCTCCTTCAATCTGATCTATTTTTTAAAAATCAGTTTTAAACAATTTGCGTGTGTTATTACACACCTCTGTAACCATCAATCCTGAGGTGGGACTTAAATCCAGAGGTAGAGACACTACCATCGTACTACAAGACTACCTTGGTATCACTGCTGTGCGCCTGAGGTTGTTGCCTATTGATCACTGCTCTCTTGCTTGCCAAACATCTCATCACCCCAACTTACCACTTGGCTCACCATTTCACTCACTGTCCGTTGGCTGCCTAACTTGCTGCTCAAGGAACAGGGCAATGAGTGAGGCAGAAAAAGAGTTGAAGGTTTTGGAGCACGACGATGAAAGGGACAGTGAGTGACAGCTAAGAGGGACTGTGAACTGGGTAGGATGTGAGACAATGAGGTTCAGGAGTGGGGTAGCAAATGACAAGCATCCAAAATATTACTCCTTGATGCAGGTAGTGACTTGTGGTGTCACCGGCAGTGACATCACAGGCACTGCGATTGTGTGTGCAGCGAATGCATCCCCTACAAAAACATCCAGATAGTGGGCTAGGGATGTGTGACAATGCAGAGATGGAATTTAATGGCTTTGGTGATGGGGGCTTGACAGAGTAGATTCTGGGGGAGTAGAAGACCAGCAGGTATAATTTCAGAGTAAGAGGTCACTAAATAAAGCCAGAGATGAGGAGGAATTTTCCTTCAGAGTATAGTCAATCGGTGGAATTCTTTACTGCAGAGTGTTGTCAAGGCTGGGCTGTTAAGTATATTCAAGACAGATTTTTAATTAGTAAGGGAATAGAAGGTTATGGGAAAAGTCAGGAAAGTCAAATTGAGGATTGTGAGATCAGACAAGATCTTACCAAATCGTGGAGCAGACTGAACAGGCCAAATGGCCTAACTTTTCTCCTACATCTTATGGTTTTATGGAGGGAGTACGGAATCGAAAGCTGAGCCCAAGATTATGAACTTACTTTAATCATTTTTTTCTGGACCAGGAGCAGGATTTCTCAAACTGCATCAGAAAATAGATCCTGCTGTTTTGTACCCTGAAAATGTTACACAAAGAATATCACTCCTTCCACATTAAGGACTTACCTGTGCGAGAACAACTTGGATTCATATTCTGTGAACAGTTCATCTGCTTTACAGAATTGGCAACTGCAAAAGGAAAATTAGTAAGATTAGTATACAATGGGAGAGAAAAGACACTTCCTTCTGAATGCTGACTACTGTATAGCATCAACAACCAAAATAAAAAAAAACATATTTTATCTGTCTGGAACAAGCAAAAACACAATGAGACAACTGATCAGCCAGTCAGGTACTTGTCTGGTGTTGGATTATTCAGATGTCGGTTCAATTACCTGATATATAGCCCATTAATATAGCTCAGAACTGGCCAATTGAGAAACCTTTCTGATGCTGAATTACTCAATTATTCCATTAATTTATTTGGTCAGTGACCTATTCATGTTCCTTCGACCACAACCAATTTCTATACCAGATAAAATTCTTTGGTTAGAAGTCAGATGAGATAGTCCATGTAATTGGAAAATTATGCTACAATGTAGAAACAACAACATTTTACATTTATAAAGCAGCTTTAATGCAGAAAACATACCAAAAGAAGAGAAAAAATAATAAAAGCAATAGAAGACTGGAGGAATGAATTTGTCGTTGCTGTCCTGGCCACACATTTACCATTTCTAACATCATAATATAAATTTTCTTAATGTGTGTTAAACCATGTGGTCTCCCGAATCTATGCAAGGTGGCTTAATTACGTGGATTAATACAAATTGGATTTTTCCAATACCTGATTTTCATCAAAGTTTGAATGTTGCAAACCAACATCGGTAATTTCAAACCAAAAACAGAAAATTCTGGAAATATTTGACATGTCTGGCAGTATCCAAATGGCGAGAAAGATTGAGTGACGTTCAGTGACCTGAGACTTTAACACTATTTTTCACTCAAAAGATGTTGCAGGTCCACTGAGTATTTCCAGCATTTTCTGCAGAAACTCAGCAGGTCTGGCAGTATCTGAGGAGAGGAGAACAGTTAACATTTTGCGTCTGGTATGACTCGTCTTCGCTGGTTCTGAAGAAGAGTAAGACCATTAACTCTGTTTCTCTCTGTACACATGCTGTCAGAGGTGATGAAATTCTCCAGGCTTCTCTGTATTTATTTTAGATTTCTAGCATCCACAGCATTTTGCTTTAACTCCAGCATTTTCTGATTCTAATTCTGATTTCCAGAATTCACAGTATTTTGCTTTCGTACTGCCAAATTCAAACTTGATTTAACCAACATTCTGACTTATGTCAGTCGTGGTTCAGTGGGTAATGATACATTACCTATTGGCAGAAATCCAATTATGGTACTCCACACTATATTGTGATATTGGAAACTTCAAAATTTTAATAATTGTTCAGGAATTGAAAGAGTCAGCAATAACTTTTTCTGGAATAAACTGTTTCCTGAAATGAAAATGACAAGGAGAAACTGTTATAAAGGAATTAAAAGCAATGTGCTAATTAACCTTCCCTGGGAAGAAAGGCTCAATGCAACATAAACATGCTGTTTCCTGGGAGAGCAGAGATAACTGCTGGATAACCTGCTGTCTCATGATAAATGGCATTTAAGATTGCCTGCAGAAAGAATGTCCTGAAGTAAAGGATTTAATTGCAGGAAAGTTGTGTTTTGAATGGACAGTTAATGCCAAGTGTAAGAAGGAACAGGAAAGCTACGCCTGATAAGTCGGCAAGCTACAAAACTTAGTGACTCCGTAAGTGTAATCACTGTTGCAGATGAATGAATGTAAAGGATTGTCAATAATGTTACATCCGAAACTTCACAATACAGAAAATCCTAAAAGAATTCAACTTCAGGATTCCTCAGTAGCAGAACTTCAAAGAACAACATTGTTCTAGGTTACAAAGGGACATTGATAGGATGCAGAGCTGGGCTGAGAAGTGGCAGATGGAGTTTAACCCTGAAAAGTGAGAGGTGATTCATTTTGGAAGGACAAATTTGAAAGCAGAATACAGGGTTAATGGAGAGATTCTTGGCAGTGTGGAGGAGCAGAGGGATCTTAGGGTTCATGTCCACAGTTCCCTGAAAGCTGCCACCCAGGTGGATAGAGTTGTTAAGAAGGCGTGTGTTAGCTTTCATTAATAGAGGGACTGAGTTCAAGAGTCGTGAAGTTATGCTCCAGCTATACGAAAGCCTGTTTCGGCCACATCTGGAGTATTGTGTCCAGTTCTGGTCGCCTCATTACAGGAAAGATACGGAAGCGTTGGAAAAGGTGCAGAGGAGATATACCAGGATGTTGCCTGGAATGGAGGGAAGGTCTTACGAGGAAAGGTTGAGAGCGCTAGGGCTTTTCTCTTTAGAACGATGAAGGATGAGAGGTGACTTGATAGAGGTGTACAAAATGATCAGAGGTATAGACAGACTGGACAACCAGAGACTTTTTCCTAGGGTGCAGGTAGCTATTACAAGGGGGCATAGTTTTAAAGTGAGTGGAGGTAGATATAGGGGAGACGTCAGACGTAGGTTCTTTACTCAGAGTGGTAGGGGCATGGAATGCATTGCCGGAGAGGATAGTGGAGTCGGCCTCATTAGGGGCATTTAAGCGGCTATTAGATAGGCATATGGATGATAGTATAAGATAGGGGTGGAGGTTAGACAGATCTTAGGATTAGGGTAAAAGTTTGGCACAACATTATGGGCCGAAGGGCCTGTACTGTCCTATGTTCTCCGTTCTAACACGGGACAAGGATCGAACTATGGACACAGAGACAGACACTGTGGCTGACATTATAGCTAAATTCCACCATTTATTGAGTAATACCTAAGTTGAGTTATGAGGCTTAACTTGCTTATTTGAGGGGTCTTATTTTGGTTGCTACATGCAAAGTTGAAGTAATTGTTTCAGTATTTGTTTGTCTATGAGATTTCTTAACAAGTAGCTGAATTAAAACGTAGCCTGTGGTAATTAAGCTGCTTCTATTACTTTTTCTCTTCCTTTGGGATGTTTGCTGCATTAAAAGGTGCTTTATAAATGTAAAATGCTGTTGTTTCTTCATTTTAGCATGATTTCCCAATTACATGAACCATCTCATCTGACTTCTAACCAAAGAACTTGTTCTGATACAGAAGTGAGTTGTTGTTGAGGAACATGAATCGGACACAACAGTACGCACTTGTTCAGGGGAAATCGGACAGGGCGAAGATGACACACTGTGGCGAGTCGAATTTCTTCTTGTGATGGTGGGCCCTCTAGATTCTTGACAGAGTCCTGTACCATCTTCTGTGATTTCTTCAACTCTTCAATTTGCACAGTCAGCAAAAACTGCAGGCCTCTACAGTCGTGGAACCTGAGTGTAAAAATATTAACTGTGAACAACACAAATTAGACACATTAGTCATGACTTTGAGTTGATGAATGGTTCATTGCATCATGAGCAAAACCTTACTGTTTGGAAAGATTGGTCCACATGACAAGTTGGACTGAAGGGTACATTTCTGTACTGTATGTCTCTATGATTTTATGAGATTGTGCTGCTGAGAGGGTATTGGGCACGATACAATTGCACACACCTTGGTAGACGGATGTTGAAAGAGAAAATGGAAGGTTCTGAATAAGGCATTAAAAGATCTCCTCCCAAACATAATGGTAATCTTACTTAATGCAGTGTTGGGACCTACTCTGCAGCCAAAATGCCGCCCTCTCTATGGTAATTTCAAAGACTGTCAATCTGAAACACTGTTAATTTTTGCTGAAACATGACAAGTTGGACCCTTAGAGATTCCCAGTTCAAACAAGATGAACGAATCTGAAACAAGATTCCGTGCAGGTTACAACTTATCCATGGAAGTCTCAACTTTATTCCATGTGTCAAGAAACTACCCTTTAGAAACAATGATTGTACTTAAATTTTAAAATTGTGAGGCTTTGCCAATGTGTCGTGTGCACCTTCATTACGCAAGATCAACAAGCAACATAAGTTTCTATATCTTCCCATCTTTTCCAAGGTAAGTAACCAACTCGCCAACAATTATTGCTGTTACTCACTGGGCTGGTGAACAATGTCTGCTCACATGAGCTAACAACAAGGCACCAACTTCCTGCTTCGCAGCAAAACTTGCCTCGGCATATTTTGCCTTCCTTACCAGCAGGGCCCATGTCCATACTGGATCTGCTTTTATGGTCAATGGCCCATGAATCATCCTGCAGCTTTCGCCACTGAGGGGCTCTCTCACTAAGGTGGGTCCAGCGATTCAGATAGTCTCCTAAATTGAGCTATGAATCTCAAGTGAAAATCAGGCAAGGCCACAGAAAGCTCCTTGGTAGTGGCATGAAGGTGAGGAAGATGATTAAAAATTTTTCAAAATGTACAGGTGCAATTAAGGTCTTTAAGGAACATATATAAAAGTAAACAAGATGTGAATCTTAGAACTCATTTTTAAATTTCTCCTTCCTTGTCTTATCTACAGCAAACAATGGCATAGATCAATTCCAGTGGCCTTCAGTGTTGGTCCCAAAAAATCTCATTAGCCAATGGCAACACAGTGAAAATTGCTGAGGTTTCTAGTGGAACACTAGCAGCTTAGTGCAGTGATGCATTTAGGCCATAGAAATCGTCAGCACAAAGACAGGAATGCAACAATCATATATTGGACAGTATGCAAATCTACTTACTTTTCAGCCATGGACAGTTTGTTAGGTTGCTGTTTGTAGTTACATGAGATTTCATTTCGCACCCTTGTCACCAGCTCGTCATCCAGAGCAGCCTGCAGTACACACTCAATGATACCAAGCCACCAGGGTGCCCCAGGGTGAATCTGTTGATGGGACACAAAAAAGATTTTTGTTGAACAGAACAGAAAGACATTCTAGTATGTCATGATAATGATCAACTATCCCATCCTACTTACTAACTTCCAAAACCAGAAGTGAATAGTAAATCACAAAGGAAAGTGGTAAACCCTACCAGCAAATCACAAACTGCCGGAAGTTAATGCGGGACCCAATTCATTTTTGGGAAGTAACATTATAGTCAGAATTATAGATTCTTAAAAGTAGCAGCACTGAGCATTTCAATGACTACAGTCATAGTCAAACGGCACAGAAGAGGCCCTTCAAACCTTTAGCCCACTAAAGTTGACTATGGATTTCTGCCATCTTTTTTCCAGTAGTACCACCACGTGCGATTCCTCTATTGCGAGGCCAGAGTTGAGAGTGCTGCAGGAGACACCCAATTCAGCATGACAGACTATGCAGAAATATTTTGAATTGCAGGACCTTCAGAAATGATGGAACATTCAGCTCTAAATTTTAGTACTCACTGTTACAGTGCCATACAATAACACCTTCACCTTAGCACATCTCTTCCCAGTTAAGGCCTTAGCCTCCTTTCAATGGTCTCATGACTACTGAAATACTTGCAATTTAAAAACTACTTCTTCCAAATTATTGTGCCTTCCTTTTATAGCACCACATCAGGTGTTTGCTGCAGTACTCCCAACTCAATCCTTTTTTGAAGCAGTGCACCTTAACAGAGGCACACGTTTATATATACAAATTTGTCCTGGACCTGCCATACACCACCATTCCAGTGGTGTACCTGGTGCTGCTGTACATAACCCTTCCCATGACACTGCCGTACAGCATTTTTGTCTGGTCCTGCCTTACAGCATCGTTCCCCCGGCTCTGCTGTACAGCATAGTTTACCTTGCGCTGTAGTTCACGGATGTTTTGCTGAACAGGTGGCAAAGCTTGACGTGCAGCAGAAACTTCCAAATCTGATTTATTCATGTAATGCTGTCTAAGCTGTTCAGCCTATATATGTTAATTTGAAAAAAGAAATATTAAAGTTTATACTTATAACAGAATTTAGCAAACTCTGCCAACCATCAGTGTTGCCTATAAGTAGCAGCATCTGGTCACATTTTCCAAACTACAATCAAAACGTTGTTATTATCAGGGGATATTTGACAGTCAGGTTTCCTCTTCAAGCCATATGAATCCCCAAGGGTCAGTAGAGTTAGTCAAACATCAAACACCACTTCACTGAGCGCTGTGCTAAGGAGGCCTAGGTATTAATGTGAACTAGGGAGGGGAAAACTTTTCACTGGTTTGAGTAATACCTAGCAAACAGATGATAACAAATATCACCTGGCATCGACCTAGGCACCGGAAAAGATATTGGCAGAAAAAGCCCTGTCAACCCTGAAAAGTCCTCCTCACTAACCTCTGGGGGTTAGTGCCAAAATTGGGAGAACTGTCATACAGACAGTTAAGCAACAGCTTGACATAGTCATACTCACAAAATCATACCTTACAGACAATGTCCCAGACACCACCATCACTATCCCTGGTTATGTCCTGTCCCACCGGCAAGACAGACCCAGCAGAGGTAGCGGCACAGTGGTATACAGTCGGGAGTTGGTCTGGGATTCCTCAACATCGACTCTGGTCCCCATGAAGTCTCAGGTTAAACATGGGCAAGGAAACCTCCTGCTGATTACCACATACCGTCCTCCCTCAACTGATGAATCAGTACTCCTCAACGTTGAACAACACTTGGACGAAGCACTGAGGATGGCAAGGGCACAAAATGTATTCTGGGTGGGTGATTTCAATGTCCACCACCAAGAGTGGCTCAGCAGCAGTACTACTGATTGAGCTGATCGGGTCCTAAAGGGCATAGCTGCTAGTCTGTGTCTGCGGCAGGTGGTGAGGGAACCAACAAGAGGGAAAAATACATTTGACCTCATCCTTACTAATTTGCCAACTGCAATTACATCTGTCCATGACAGTATCGGTAAAAGTGACCACTGCACAATCCTTGTGGAGACGAAGTCCCACCTTCACATTGAGAATAACTTCCATCCTGTTGTGTGGCACTATCACTGTGCTAAATGGGACAGACTTCACACAGATGTAGCAACTCAAGACTGGGCATCCATGAGGCGCTGTGGGCCATCAACAGCAGCAGAACTGTACTCCAGCACAATCTGTAACCTCAAGTCCCGGCATATCCCACACTCAACCATTACCATCAAGCCAGAGGATCAACCCTGCTTGAATGGAGAGTGCAGAAAGGCATGCCAGGAGCAGCACCAGGCATACCTGAAGATGAGGTACCACCTGGTGAAGCCACCAAACAGCACTACTTGCACGCCAAACAGCGAAAGCAGCACGTGATAGACAGAGATAAGTGATCCCACAACCAATGAATCAGATCTAAGTTCTGCAGTCCTGCCACATCCAGTCGTGAATGGTGATGGATAATTAAACAACTCACTGGAGGAGGAGGCTCTACAAATATCCCCATCCTCAATGATGGAAGAGCCCAGTACATCAGTGCAAAAGATAAGGCTGAAGCATTTGCATAAACACAGTGGCTACAAGAGCAGGCCAGAAGCTAGGAATACTGTGGCGAGTAAGTCACCTCTTGATTCCTCAAAGCCTGTTCACCATCTACAAGGCACAAGTCAGGAGTGTGATGGAATACTCCCCACTTGCCTGGATGAGTGCAGCCTCAACAACACTCAAGAAGCTTGACACCATCCAGGCCAAAGCAGCCCGTTTGATTGGCACTACAACCACAAGCATCCACTCCCTCCACGTCTGGCAGCAGTGTGTACTATCTGCAAGATGCACTGCAGAAATTCACCAAAGATCCTCAGACAGCACCTTCCAAACCCACAACCACTTCCATCTAGAAGGATAAGGCATCACGCATATGGGAACATATGAAAAGAAGGTGAAGGCCTCAGGTGTTTTCACTATAATAAGGTGGGACCCACAAAGTCACAGTGCTGGTGGTTTAAGAAGGGCACTGGGAAAAAGGATATGGTAAAAGAGGCTAAACCAGTGGGATTAGTTAAGGTAGTGAAGGAAATCCCAAAAGGAGTTGAGGAGCTGCAGGAGACTGCACAGCCTAATGCACTATCTGGGCTGGATAGTGAGATGGTGCCTGATCTCTACAAAGACTTCACCTCTGTGGGCAAGATTTATTCAGGAAGAACAGGGGGAAAGAAGTTAAATCATTGAGAGATACAGAGCTGGTCAGTCTCTAATAGTAAGAGATGAAAGTATTTGCACTCCTTCTGAAATGTTACCTGAGAGAGTGGTAATCTGTGGCATTGATGGAGAGAGATTTAGCATTCTCCTGTGTAAGATGAGGTTGGAAAGTCCAATCAAGACTGGGGAAGTGAAAGTGGGAGTGATTGAAAGAGTGTCAATTCCAGGAATATAGTTTTTTCTTGGAAACAACCTCGCAAGATCAAAAGTGAGAAGGATGCCCCTGGTAGTGGAGAAGTCGAAGGAAAACCAAGGAACTGAGGACTTAAAATGAAAATACCCAGGAATTTTTCCGACTGTCTGGTAATAAGATCCCACAGTCATAAGTTACACCAAGAAGAAAAAACTAAAGAAAAAGATGAAGGAATTGAGACGCAGTTAGCTAACACCCTGTTTGATGTAATGGTAAAGGAATAAGCCTGAACAGGTAGAGGATCAGGCAGAGGTGTTTAGTTCTAAAAGATTGCTGGAGTTACAACAAAAAGATGAAGCAATATAAGATCTATATCATAAACCCTACTCGGGAAAAGGAATCAGAATGTATTCACAAGTGTTATTATCTTAAGGATAGAATCCTAAGCAAAAATGGAAGCCTTGGCAGTCTGGTGCAGAGGAGAATTGGGCGGACGAGCACCAGATTGTGTTGCCAGTAGCATACAGACAGAAGTATTGCGGATAGCACACAAATTACCTGTAGGAGGTCATCTAGGAGTGAAGAAGACTCAGGCTAAAATACAAAATCACTTCTATCGGCCTCGATTGCATTAGGATGTGGTTGAATTTTGCCGTACCTGTCATACTTGTCAAATGGTAGGAAAGCCAAAGGCAGCAATGGAACCAGCACCTTTGATGCCAATTCCCGCATTTCAGAAACCTTTCACGGCTTGATTACGATTGATTGTGTAGGTTCCCTCCCTAAAACCAAAAGTGGGAACCAGTATTTGCTAACCCTAATAGATGTGCCTACCAGATTTCTGGAGGCAATTCCATTACAAAGCGTCAAGGCAAAAAAGGTTGCGGAAGAGTTGCTTGCTTTCTTTACCCGTTATGGGCTACCCAGAGAGATTCAGTCAGATCAAGGGTCCAATTTTACAGCCAAACTATTTAAGGAGGTCATGGATAATTTAGGCATCAAACACTTTAATTCAAGTAAATACCATCCTGAATCCTAGGGAGCATTGGAAAACTGGCATTAGACCCTAAAAATGATGCTGAGGACTTATTGCCAGGACTACCCAAATGATCGGGTTAAAGGTATCCCATTTATATTGTTTGCCATTAGAGATGCCCCAAATGAATCGACTCAGTCTACTCCATTTGAGTTGATATTCAGACACGAAGTAAGAGGGCCTTTAAAATTAATTAAACAAAGATTGATTCGTCCGCAGTCAGAGATCTCACAGTTGGATTATGTATCTGAAAGATCAACAGAGTCTGTGAATTAGCTAGACAACATGTGAAGGGACACAGCATCTAATGAAGCAAGGAACAGATAAGAAATCTAAAATTCCAACAATTGCCTGTGGGGATAAAGTATTGGTGCTGTTACCAATGGTAGGAGATCCCTTCAAAGCAAGGTTTAGTGGTCCCTATCAGATTGAGAAGAAGTTGGGTCAAATGAATTATCTGGTAAAGATGTCAGATAGGAAAAAAACTTTATTGGGTATGCCATGTGAACATGTTGAAACTCTATTATGACAGGGACAGGGAACCAGAGAAACAGGTATTAGTCACTGCCCCTCAAATCCAGATGATTTGGGTTTTGATATACTTCAAATTAAATAATGAGGAAGTCCTTGGAAAATGGGATAGGATAGTGAGCTGTCTCAGGAACAGAAAACTGAATTGAAAGGCTTATTGCAGCAATATAAGGATATATGTAGAATAGAATGGGGAGGACTAACATTATAATACGAGGTTGAAGTAGAGAATGCTGTTCCGATAAAACAACACCCCTACAGGCTTAGAAATAGCAAGAACCGCAGATGCTGGAGCACTCAGAAATAGCAAGAGCCTCTACAGGCTTAATCCTCTCAAAGTGGCACAGGTACAGAAGGAAGTGGAAGCGATGCTTCAAGAAAACATCATCAAGCTGACTGAAAGCAAGTGGAGATCATCGATCGTGTTGGTTCCCAAACCTGATGGTACTCAACAATTCTGAGTGAATTATCAGAAGTCAATGGCATAACTAAATTGGACTCAAATCCAATTCCAAGGCTGGAGGACTGTGTAGAAAAAGTGGGAAAAGCCACTTACATTACAAAGTTAGACTTACTTTGTGGTTACTGGCAAGTACCTTTGTTAGAGAGAGTGAAAGAAGTTTCTGTGTTTGTAACTCCAAATGGACTGTATCAATTTAAAGTAATGCCCTTTGGAATGAAGAATGCACCAGCCACATTTCAAAGACTTATGGACAGAGTTGTGGCAGGATTGACTAATTGTGCTGTCTACGTAGATGACTTAGTGATCTTTAGCCATTCATGGAAAGATCACATGGTACATTTGGCAGAGCTCTTTGAAAGACAATGGGAGGCAAAACCGGTTATAAATTTAGCAAGAACTGAGTTCACGAAGGCAGAAGTGATGTTCTTGGGACACATCATCGGACATGGAAGGATGACCCCGAGTAACTTGAAGATGAAGGCCTTCAAGGAATTTCCAATACCATTCTCGATGAAAGAGGTGTGTTGATTTTTGGGACTGAGCAAATTCTACAAATGGTTTGTGTCAAACTTTAGTAACATGCCAGCACTGCTGACGGATTTGATAAAGAAGAATATGAAATTTCGATGGACAAAACAATGCCAGGAGGCACTGGAAAATTTAAAAGCCATGTTAATCACCGCACCAGCTTTAGCCACACCAAATTTCTTGAAACCCTTTAACGACACCAGCGATATAGGGGTTGGAGCTGTGTTGATGCAGAAGGATGATGGCGGAATTGAAAGGCCAATTGGTTATTTTTCAAAGAAACTCAATATTCATCACAGAAAATACTCCACCATTGAAAAAGAATTATTGAGTTTGGTACTGGCCTTACAACATGTTAATGTTTATGTTACAAACAATATTTTGGAGACGATTGTATATACAGACCATAACCCACTCATCTTTTTGAAACGATTTAAGGACAAAAATATGAGACTATTTCATTGGAGTTTTATGTTATAGGCTTTTAATTTACAGATTGTACATGTTGCGGGTCATAAAAGTGTTACTGCAGATGCGTTATCACAAGTTTAGAAGAAAATGTGTAGATAAGTGAGAACCGGTACGGTCCAACGTTTTATATATATACACATATGTATATACACACACACATATACACATACATACATAAATTTAAAAAATGCAAAATTAGTATGAAAGGCGTAACTTTAGATTACTGACCTATGTATTTTGTGCTAATGGTGTTAAGACTTAGAGAAAAAAAATGAAATCATCTTTTCATAATGATGGTTGATTTTTTCTTAAGCGGGGGGAGATATTGCGAAGTTGTGTAGAATACTCATGAATTGGAAGCTAGGAAGTTAGAATTTGTTTGTAAAAATGATAGTGGGAAAAAACAGTATGAGGTCCCTTTAAAAGATTGTGCTTTGTCTGTGCTTGGAAGTTTGCAAGTACTGTACAGAGAGCCCCAAATTGAAACAAGTGTATCAAAAGGCCTTATAGTTGGCAGGCAAAACAGAAGTCTTGTTTTGATGTTTTGGCAACAAGCTGGACTCAGCCAATTAATTTAAACCAAGTACTTAGCAATTGAAAGCCAACTGAATTTAAAACGAATGGCTTTGACAACCTGAAACCAATCATATTAAAGGACCTTGATGTGTCAAGGGGATATATAACAGGGTTTTTGAAAATCTGTGTGAGAGCCAACTGCCATCTGACGCAAAAGTAAATCTGCCATCTGAGAAATAAACCTAGCTCTCACACAAAATCATCAGGCTCCCCTTAAAAAAAAAAAGTAGCAAAGGTACCATGGCACTTCTAGCTAAAAGTCCTTACTGAAGAAATTAGAGAGAAAACATCCCTGACAGCATGATCAGCAGAAGGCAGGCTGGAGAGATAGTGGAGAATGCAAAGCATTCTGGAAGACTCATTCGGTGTGAACTTTGAGGGACTAGGTTTCAATTTACTGTTTTCTTATTACTTGTTATATAAATGGGGCCTGTGCTTATTGCAACAGCATACAATTAGAATCTTGTTTTATTAGGAAATAGTAGTTAGAGGGGAATTGGTCAGTTTGTTAGTAGTTCTGTTAATTTGTTCGCTGTTAGGGTTAAATAAATAAATTGTTACTTGTTTCTTATAAAGCGAGTATCAGGGATTCCTTTCATTTAACTTTCAGAATACGAGGGGCAAGGCCAGCTTCTCTGGGTGTTTCGGGTTTAATCAGAAGGGAACCTCTGCTGCCACCACAACAGATTGGGGCTGGTGTTTTGGTTGATTATCAGAGGGGTTTGATCTTCCCTTCTCCATGACAAACACCGTAACAGTAATTCAATCAACAATATGTGGGCAACCTACTTTCTAACATCCAAAATTAATAACGAACAAAAACATAAATCGCTGTAAGATCTCAGCAGGTCTAGTAGCATCTGTGGTGAAAAGTCAGAGTTAACATTTCAGGTACAGTGACCCTTTTCAGAACAGGCCAAAGTTAATATGTGGCACTTAGGGGTAATAAACTGTGATTGAGCACATTACCGTATACATCAAATAGCAAATGCAATCAAGACATATCACACAAAATTCTCAGCAACTCCCCCAGATGACATTGGGTCATCAAATCTCATGAAACTTCACAATGAATTACACTTCTTCACTTTTACTAATCTGAATTTAGAACTACTCTCAAAAATCTCACTGTCATCAGCTGCCTCAATGACTGCTCTCACTCTGGTCAATCACTCTCCTTCCCTGGATTTACTCCCTGGGACGCCAAAACCAACTCCAGTACTCATTCACAATTGTGAATCAACCAGAATATTAACTATGTTTTTCTCTCTAACACAAATGCTGCCTGACCTGCTGTGTACTTCCAATATTTTCTGTTTTGTGTTTAATCTATCTTGCCCTTTTAAGGTGACAAGACTAATTGCTGCATGCAAATGCACAAGAGGTCAGTGAAAAATTTGTAGATTAGTAATTGCTTATAAATTCATATTCCCAAGTTAAAAGGAGCCAGCACTTGAATTGGCTTTCCTTGTCCTGTTTTAAAATAATTTCCCTTGTGATATTTTAAATTTTTATGATCTGTCTCCAATTAATTAGTCTTGAAATGCATTCAATGGGGAAAATAAGGTCCAGCCCAAGGCGAACAGGAATTCTGCTGTAATATTTGTGACATAACTACGCTATTTTGTTGTGTATTCTTTACATGAGAAATTAAACCATACATTTCATCCATGCTGTATATAGTTGTTTAAAGCATTCAGTGAAAAAATACAGGAATTTTTAAAAAATGGTTATTCAGACCCTTAAGCTTGTTTCATTATTATTAGCTCAGCAACTACAAAAGTACTCCAAATATGGACATACTGCAGTCTAGCATAGTCATACAAACTAGATAACGGAATGCTATGTACCAAATAAAGTCCTTTTCTATATTTGTTCATAGGACATGGGCAGCATTTTTTACCCATCCGTAATTCCCTAGAGGGCAGTTAAGAGTCAACCATATTGCTGTGGCTCTACAGTCACATGTGGACAAAACCAGGCAAGGAGACCACGTTTCATTCTTTAAAGGATGTGAGTGTTTACAACTAACAACATGTTTAAATAGTCACCATTCAACTAGCTTTTAATTCCAGACTTTTACTCAATTCAATTGCGAGTATTCCCTCCATTTGCTTTCCATAACCTTCACTTGATTTATATGCTTTTAACAACAGATCGACGATATTGTTCTAGTCACCCTCTGGACTCATTTCTTTCAACAGACCCCCTCATGGTACAGATGTGCCAACAGTTTCCTGACTCCATTGCTTAATTTGCCCACATGACATAAGCCACACAGGCCCATTCACTAAAATTAGTCTAAAGCTGGTCTACTTCCTTGTGCCATCAGCAAATTTCATAGAATTAAAATTTAAGCCTTCCCCTGAAGGTTTTGTAGACTCAAATCCGTTAACACATAATCAAGGCTGATTAGGGATGGGCAATAAATGCTGGCCAGCCAGCAATGCCCACATCCCACAAATGACTAAAAAAAAGTAAAAAAAAGCAATAGGATCAAAACTCAAAGGCATACAGTGCTAAATGCATGGGGGCACGACTGTTCCAAGGTCAACTCTGAAATAACAAATAAGAAGTGAGAATGACTCTGTATTGTTAACAAGCAGTGGAGCATTAACAAAAGGTGGGTACATACTTCTTCCCGAAGCTTGTGATCACGAAGAGTTGGAGGGATCCCTGGGTGGTTTGCCTCCAGGAGCTCAATAAGGTTGTGAGTAGCGTGGAGTCGCTGGAAAGAACAACATCTTAGTTTATTGGTATGTGGAGAATAAGACTCTTGGAAACTCCCAACCACACAGATCAATATGGAATTTATATACAGAATTGCAAGTTAAAATCCGAATTAGCTCACTCACCTGTAAAGAGTCTGTTTGAAGTTTGCCTTTATGCTCTTCGGATGAACGCAGAACCTCTCTGTAATATTCAACTGCTGTTACAAACTCACCTATAATATAAAATTATTGAATAGCTTCAAGTCCCACTTGACAGATACAAGTACCAACTCTTGGCTGACACTATAATGAGGGAGTATAGCACTGTTGGAGGCGGCATTTTTCAGAAGAGGGATTAAAATCAATATTTATCCCTCAATCAATATCATGAAAAGTGATTTGGTCATCAAATTGGTGTTTATGAAAGCTTGCTGTGCACAAATAGACTACTGTATTTCCTGGATTACAACAGTGATTGCATTTCAGAAATATATCATTGACTGCAATGTCTGAGACATCTTGAGGTCATGAAAGGGGCGATAAAAATGCAAGGTCTTTCTGTAGAAACACAAATAAACTTGTTTAATCTGAAACAAAATATTTTTATTTATATAATTAAAAGCGAAGACACCATACCAGATTTATGGGTAAGACATAATGTGTGGCAAGAAGATCTATTGTGTCAAACATCACTTTATTTGAAAAGAATTGTTATTTCTGATTATTATTCATCATTAGTTGACTCAAACAACATGATGGTGGTCAGAAAAACTACTGAAAGCAGTTACTACAGCACAATAAGTCAAATTGTTCTAATAGAAATATTAGAACCACTTCCAGTGGCCAACTCAATTTCTCTTTAAACCCCAATATATACCTCAAAAGTTAAGAAAAATGGTGAATGCATTCCCAATTTGGTGCATGACTTCAGCTCTAATCAACAGATTTTAGATTCAGTATATAATTTACTATATTATAAAATGTACACATTCTCAAACTCAACTAGTATTAGCTAATTTCAGATAGCATAAAGTTAGCATATTTTGGGTTCAGATAATAGACTCAAATGCAGATATTGGCTTGGAAAACTCATTCCTGTATATGGCAGCTTGCGATTTTCCATAACATTGAAATAAACAGACAGACAGAATGTTGGCCATGGGGTGAAACATTCAGCTCTAATATAAGAATTAAGCTAACAGCTCATACTGAATTATACTATATAGACAAACATAAATAGTCTTTAATGAAGAAACTGATTATTCAACACAATCAGTGCATTTTATCCCATGTAAAGTCTTGAACAGAACTTATTCATCTAGTCCCATAGTTATTTCCCTAAAATTAGTAGATTCATAATTACTCATTATATTTAGATGCAAGACATTGTTGCAACTGGTGTTTACCTCTGATAATATGAATGCCAGCCAATCCGTTAAGAGCGCACACTAGCTGCCGATGAGCCTCTTCACATTCTGTGCAACATTTTTTCTGAAGAGACTTTAAGAGTTCCTCCATTGTCATGGTACTGCAAACATAGAAGCGTTAAAAAAAAACAGGGTAGGTGTATAAGAAAATAATCTACAACAAAACAAAACATTGCCAAATTTTGCATTTTCAAGGTCAAAAGCAAGCACACACCCTTGAACGCCTGCTATGGTTCAGCTGGTAGCACTCTTGACTCTGAATTACGAGGTTCTAGGACCTCATTCCATTTCAAAGACTTGAGCATAAAGTTTTGGCTATCAATCAAGCACAGCTAAAACAGGTGGTGAAGGATCGAACTGAAACTATTACTTATGAATGTTTTATAAGTATCTAATCCATCTTGGTCTCCTCCAGATTCCCAGTATTATAGGTACCAGTCTTCAGCCAATTTAATTCACTCTACATGATATCAAAGAACAGATAAGGGGACTGAATGCTGCAAAGGCTACGGCGTGTGACAACATTCCAGCAAAAGTACTGAAGATTTGTGCTCCAGAACTAGTCACACCCCTTGTGTTCCAGTCCAGCTACAACATTAGCATCTATCTGGCAATGTGGAAAATTACTTCGATATGACTTGTCCACAAAAAGCAGAACAAATTATCTTGGAGCAGGATCACAGGACTTGAAACATTAACGCTGCTTTCTCTCCGCAGACGATGCTAGATCTGCTGAGCTTCTCCAGCAATTCTTGTTTTTGTTTGTTTGACCCAGCATTCTACTCTCAATCATCAGTAAAAAGTGATGGTAGGTGTCATCAACAGGAGTATCATGCAGCATCTGCTCAGCAATAACCTGCTCAGTGATGCCCAACTCGGGTTCTGCCAGGGCCACTCCTGACCTCATTACAGCTTCGGTTCAAACATAGACATAAGAGCTGAATTTCTGAGGTTAGGCAACAGTGACTGCCCTTGACATCAAGGGCATATTTGACTATGCGTGGTATCAAGAAGCCTTAGCAAAACTAGAGTCAATGAGATTCAGGGACTGAGATTCACTATGCAGGTTGGAGTTATACCTGGCAAAAAGGGGGATGGCTGGTTTGCTGGAAGTCAATCATCTCAGCTCCAGGACATCGCAGCAAGAATTTTTTTTAAGATAGTGTCCTAGGCCCAAGTTGCTTCATCAACGATCTTCTCTCCATCATAAGGTCGGATGAGGGAATATTCGCCACTGATTACACAATAATCAGTAACATTCAAGATTCCTCAGGTACTGACAGTTCATGTCCAAATGCAGCAGGGCTGACAAATAACATTCATGCCACACAAGTGCCAGGCAATGACCGGCTCCAACGAGAGAAAAAATCTAATCATTGTCCCTTGATATTCAACAGTATTCCCACTGCAGAATCCCCCACTATCAACATCTTGGAATTACTATTAACCAGAAATGGAAATGGACTGGCCGTATAAATCCTATGGACATAAGAGCAGATCAGAGCCGAGGAACCCTGCAACAAATAACTCAACTCCTGACTCACCACATGCTGTCCACCACCTAAAAGGCACAAGTCAGGAGTTTGATGAAGTACTCCCCATTTGCCTAGATATATGTAGCTTCAATAACATTCTGGTAGCTTGACACCACTCAGAGCAAAGTAGCCCACTAGATGTGCACTACAAACTCAAACATTCACTTCTTCCACCACCGACATATGATAGCAGCAGCGTGTACCACCTACAAGGTGCAAGGGATTGCTGCACTTTTTCAAAGCAAGCTATCAACATTTATTGAGAGTGTTGTTTACACTGTTGCTTGTTCCAGCAACTGGACTGGAGCCAGGACATGTGTACGAGGGGAGACTTGGTCAGCAACAAGTAGCTGATTGGTCTGTGGGGTTGTCCATGATAAAGGCTTTCTGCCTGCAATAGCTTTGTGATTTGCTCCCAGGTAGCTGAACAGCTTGTGAATGTGAATGATGCAGCAGAGGCCTTCAGATTTCTCAAAAGAGAGGTGCTGTCTTTTCTCTGCAGTAATAAAAACCTAAAGCTTGAAGAATACCAGTTTATTTTCCCTCACCAGGTGCTGTAAGTTATGGCTTTTAATCAAAAAGTCAGAGGTGTTACAAGTGCAAACGAGTCGCTCTGTGTCTCCTCTAAGCAAGTGAAAATACCTGGAGAAGGGAGATCAACAAAGTGACAAGCCTGACAAGACAAAAAAATCATCTCAGCGAACTCGGTGTACAGGGACCCCGAAAAGCCTTCCCAATTTCTCTCTCCACTCATAACACCAACTTTTTTGGTGCCTGCCTGTATGCAGCGGGACTTTTACAAAGGGATTAGAATTTTTACCTTTACAGTTGTGCGTCGAGAGATCATAGTTATTTACTTGTAAACATTATCTATTTATTTGTAATATTAGTCAGTGCATTGAGTATAGGATTTGGGAGGTCATGTTGCAGCTGTACAGGACATTGGTTAGGCCACTCTTAAAATACTGCATGCAATTCTGGTCTCCCTGGTATAGGAAGGACGTTGTGAAGCTTGAAAGAGTCCAGAAAAGATTTACAAGCATGTTGCCAAGTTTGGAGGGTTTGAGCTATAGGGAGAAGCTGAATAGAGTCATAGAGTCCTACAGCACGGACATAGGCCCTCTGGCCCAAAATGGTCCGTGCCGACCAAAATGTCCATCCACGCTAAGCCCATTTCCCTGCATTTGGCCCACATCCTTCTAAATCTTTCCGATCCACATATTTGTCCAAATGCCTTTTAATTGTTATTAATGTACCCACTTCAACCACTTCCGCTGGCAGCTCATTGCATACACGTATCACCCTCTGTGTAAAAAATCTGCCCCTCAGGTTCCCATGTATTCTTTCCCCTCTTACCTTAAACTGATGCCCTCTAGTCCTCCATTCCCCAACCCTGGGAAAAAGACTGAGTGCGTTCACCCTATCCATGCCTCTCATGATCTTATACACTTCTATAAAATACCCCCTCAGTCTCCTACGCTCTAAAGAAAAAAAGTCCTAGCTTGTCCAACCTCTCCCTATAACTCAGTCCCTTGAGTCCTGGGAACATCCTCATAAATTTCTTCTGCATTCTTTCCAGTTTAATAACATCCTTCCTATAGCAAGGTGACCAAAACTGAACACAATACTCCAAGTGCGGCCTCACCAATGTCATGTGCAACTGCATCATAACTTCACAACTTCTATACTCAATACCCCGACTGATCAAGGCCATTGTGCCAAAAGCCTTCTTCACTATCCTGTCTACTTGTGACTCCACTTTCAGAGAACCGTGCACCTGAACTCCAAGGTCTCTCTCTTCCACTACACTCCTTAACGCCCTACCATTCACCATGAAACTTCTACCTGGATTTCACTTTCTAAAATGCAACACCTCACACTTATCTATATGAAACTCCATTCGCCATTTCTTGGCCCACTTCCCCAACTGATCAAGATCCTGCTGCAATTTCTGATAACCTTCCTCACTGTCCACATTACTGCAAAAACTTACGAATCATATCTTGTACATTCTCATCCAAATCATTGATATAGATAACAAACAGCAATGGGCCCAGCACCGAACCCTGAGGCAGACCACTAGTCACAGGCCTCCAGTCAGACAAGCATCTTTCCAGTATTATCCTCTGCTTCCTACCATCAAGCCAATTGTGTATCCAATTTGCCAGCTCTCCCTAAATTCCATGTAATCTAACCTTCCAGAGCAGCCTGCCATGTCGAACCTTATCAAAGGCCTTACTGAAATCCAAATACACTGTCTTCTGCCCTGCCCTCATCAACCTTCCTGGTCACTTCATCAAAGAACTTGAACAAATTTGTGAGGCACGATCTCTCTCGCACAAAGCCATGCTGAGTACTCCTAATCAAACCCTGTCTTTCCAAATGCTGGGGCTATTTTCCCTGGAGGGGTGACCTTATAGAGATTTATAAAATCATGAGGGGCATGGATACGGTGAATAGCCAAGATCTTTTCCCTGGGGTTGCGGAGTCCAAAACTAGAGGGCTTAGATTTAAGGTTGGGAGAAAGATTTACAAAGGACCTAAGGGGCAACTTTTCATGCAGAGGGTGGTGCGTGTATGGAACGAGCTGCCAGTGGAAGTGGTGGAGGTTGGTATGATGACAACATTTTAAAGGCATGTGGATGGGTATATGTATAGGAAGGGTTTAGAGGGATACGGGCCAAATGCTGGCAAATGGGTCTAGATTTATTTAGGATATCTAATTGGCATGGATAAGTTGGACCGAAGGGTCATTTACGTGCTGTACAACTTCATGACTCTACAAATTGCAATTCTCATTAAGTATGGAAATCTGGTTTGTGCTTTCTGTTAACCGAGGTCTAAAAAGGCAGGTAAATTGGGGAATTTTGCAGATTTTGATAAAATCCTTAATGTTAGTGACAATTCCAGGAATAGTGGGGCTTGAGTTCCAGTGAGATATAACAACGGATTATAAAGTAAACATAAGAGCATTAGAAAAGACAGAACCCTATTCACACAGGCAGCTGCAAGGCTGTGAAAAACCATTTCCAGTAGAGACAGAAACAGTATCAACATTGAAGATTAGATTAGACAGATAGATGAAGAGAAAGAGATTGAAGGGGTATGGCATTGGTCAGCTAAACATGAAGAAGATTATTTGTTGACAGTGAATGTATTTTAACTTATCACAATTATTTTAAAAGCTATACTTTCTTGCTTAACTTTTAAAATGGACTTTGTTGTGCTAAAACATGGCTGCTGCTGAGCACATGATACAAATTAACTACATTTCTGGAAACTTCCAATTATCAATTATTAGAACGGAGCTCAGACACCATTCTCCTGGATGTCATACCCTTGCATTGTATTGATCTGCAATACATTACATTGTATTGTATTGATCAATGAAAGCATGCTTGCTTTGGAGTACTGTATGCAATTCTGGTTGCCCTACTATAGAAAGAATATTATTAAACTAGAAAGATTTACTAGGATGCTACCTGGGCTGAAGGGTTTGAATTATAAGGAGAGGTTGGATAGGCTGAGACTATTTTCCCTGGAGCATAGTAGACTGATGGGTGACCTTACAGAGGTCTTTTAAATCATGAGAGACATAGATAAGGTAGATAGCCAACAGCTTTTCCCCATAGTAGTGAAGTCTAAAACTAGAGGGCATAGGTTTGAGAGGGGAGAGATACAAAACGGTCCAGAGGGACAATATTTTCACAGAAGGTGTTGAGTGTCTGAAATGGGCTGCCAAAGGTAGTGGTGGAAGTAAAATTTTGTCATTTAAGAAATATGTAGACAGGTACATGGATGGGATAGGTATGGAGAGGTATGGAGAGGTATGGAGAGGTATGGAGAGATATGGACCAAAAGCAGGCAAATGGGACTAGTTTAATTGTAAAAACTGGGCAGCATGGACAAGTTGGGCCGAAGGGTCTGTTTCCATGCTGTAAGACCTCTGTGATACTAACAACATTATTTTCTTTGTTTCCTTCCTTGTACATTTATCTATGTGCATGTGTTACGACAATCATTTCCAGATTTGAATACATGAATAAACCATACGTCGGATTTAACCCTAAATAAAGTTTACTGCGGGCCACTTTAAAACTTCAACTTCACCAATAAAGGGTTTGAGGGAAAACATGCCACAGGCTGTTTCAAAGCGAAAAACAAATTAGCTCTGCTTATGTACAGGAAGACTTTTTAAAAGTTCAACTTACTTCCCTCTCCTAACCAGACAAGAGTGAATGCGGACAAGAACTGGTTGAGCTCAGAGACCGGTTTCTATGTTGCAATTTCGATACATGTATGTGCTGTGTGATTTCGACACAGTCTTAACTGTCTTAGAAATGTTATGGCCCAACCTTTGGAACCCCAGTTGAATCAAATGGTTTGCTTCCCCGCTCTAACACTTAAGTGATTCGACAGGTACCTCTTCTGCAGTGGAAGGAACTCTCCCCGTACAGCCTGTGGATGACAGCACGCCTGTCTTAATCTCAGCAAGGGATACAGAATGGAACTAACTGTCCGCCTGTCCAGACTGCTCAACTTGGTACTCCAATCGGAAATCTTCCTCAACTTCTGCAGTGCATCTTGGGAACAAATCTCATGCTGCCGATGGTAAAAGTGCCTTTCTACTGGTGAAAATCGTAGCCAGTGAACTTCCTCAGTCTGAGGTGGGATCTGGATCTGGGGGAAAAGCAGCACACAAAGTTAAAACATGCCCAATTTACTGATCAAACCTATTAACACTCAGACAAAACTGAATGGTTTAATAGAAACATCCACAATTGTACTCTGGAATTCAGAGGTGGCATTCCTCTGCAGGTAGCAGATAAAGTGGTGAAAGATTAATCATTCAATTCCCGGTATTCATACACACTTTATGCTGAAGTTATGGTGAAAAGTTAAATAAATAACACCACAGTAGAACATCCCAATAAATGGTTCATCAGAATTGGGACACTATAATAAGGGATTATCAAATCTCAGACTGGAGGACTATAGAAAAGCCCCTCACTACATGAACTGGGTAGAAAACAACAAATCACCCAAACCCTAGCACAGCAGCATTACAACTTCCCCCAACTAAATCCATTCACTTAGCATAGGGATGTACAGCCTAGCCTCTTGTTGCATCTTGAGAGTTGTGAGAAGTGCCCATATTAACTGTTAGCTCTTTCTATGCCAGCTGCAAGATTATGGAACAATTCACTCTGCTGCACATTAATAGTGAGTGCGTTTCTCACATTAATTACATTACTGGTGAAAAATTGAACTGCATTGTATTCATTTTGCAGAGGTAGAACAGGTGGAACGATGCCAACATATTGACTAGCATCCTTTGCCTCAAGATACCCGGGAAACTCTGACCTGACACTGGATTGTGACATTTTACAACTGCTCTTGGCAGCCAAATAATAAAAAAAAAAACTTTAGTGCCTTTACATGGGTAGATGAGGGACCTAACCCATGATTTTGGCACTCCCCTGCTGTCTCAGTGGGAACAGTGCGTATTGAGCAGCTCGACATTGGGCCTAACCTGGCCAGAATTCAGTCTGAGCAAATGTTGTCCATTAAAGGAGCTAGGAAGAGTAGGAAGACTGAACTAAAGTTGCAATTGTCCATGTGTCCACTTCAACCAGGATTTAGTTAAGAACAGTGCTGGCAAGGCAACAAGCCTAAAAATCACTGCTGCCAAAGTGTGCGTTTGTCATGGAGGCCATGACAGAGACTGGCAACTTGCCCAAATTATTTAGGTCAAGGCCTACCTTATAACCTACTGAGAGCTTCCTTGTTTGGGTTTTGCCATTCTCCCCCACTACCTCAAAGTATTTCTGCTGACATCGACATGGACACTGGTACCTGATCAAGCACATCCTTTTTTGCCGTTCTCCACATGATCTTTGCGATGAGGGTGTACACAGGAATTGGATTCTTCCTGCAGTAAGGTTGGTATAGAAGTTGGTCCCACCAGTGTTTAACCCAATATGGGTCCACACCCAAAAATAAAACTAATCCATACAGGTCTGAGGAAAGAATGAGAAATAAGTCAGGCACATCAAAATTGGATGATGAAAGTCAAACAAAAATGAAAGAAATTTGACTGATTCAGCATCTGTTCCTTTGCAGAAGTCCAAAATAAATCCTGATAGCCCATGTTAGTACATAAATAAATTGAAAATAGTATTTTCCACGTAACACATTGACACACACTGCATTCCTATGCAACACTCAGCATACTCCTACCAAAAATCTCCGCTCAGTTTTTCCAGCACTACCTGTTTTTCTTTCAGATTTCCAACAAACGCAGCCTTTTGCTTTTGTTTGTTGACAGAGTTTCTGCAATCTCCACCTTACTTCCTCAGTAAACTAGGATACGATCCATCAAGGCTGGTGATTATTTTGGATATCCATTAAGAAACAATCTTTTACAGTGAATTGACAGTAGCAGATTTCAGAGGGTTCCAGCTTTACTTACATTAGTAGATAAAGCAGGACAAGGAAAAGGGATCAAAAATCTTCTCTGACTCCTGCATAATATAAACTAAGATCCCCAACACTACACTCCCAACTCAACCTGACTTGGCTCACCGCCATCCCTGAAACCAATACCCTGACCCAAGTAACCACTGTGTCATTCTCTAGCCCCAGGTACTAATCCAACACCAACTCCAGAAAGCCCATAAACCTGAGCTGACACCATCCTCAATAGCCCCTAAGCTGCCCATGCTCATGACAATAATCCCCACCCACCAGTTCCACACTAACCCCTCATCTACCTGCTAATCTTTTCCCTCATTCACCATCTGTTACCCAACCCACACTTACTCATCTGCCACCCTACTCCCTCACCCAATCACCTTCTCTGTATTTTTTGTCAAAGTGTCTTTTGTACTTTTAAACTCAAGAAAAGGGCAGTCACTACAAAAATAGTGTTGTGGCTTGGCCTCCAATGCTGATCCTGCACAGTAACCATAATGTAAGGCTCTAGATCAGGCATGCTTCGAGCCTCTCAAGTGGCCCAAATCAAAAACTGTGCAAGAAACCTGGACCTCCAAGTAAAAGAAAATGATTGAGGTGGCAATCCTTTGTTGACTGCCACTTCTCAGAAGACTTGGACCTATGTCATTAGCCATTCAGGGAAATTTAACTTTGGATGCTTTTCATTCCCCATTGCTTGTTCACAGGTTCAGGGTACATGAGTAGTGATTCACGGATTTTTTTTTGACTGGAGGGATATAAACAATGGTTTACTCAAGGGTTAGAATCTAGAATTTTATTTGGGGGCATAATATTTCAATTGACGTGGGTCAGGCAAAAGAAAAAAACATGATTAAATATGAACAAGGCTGAAATTCAATTCAGACAGACATGAACAAGAATTAGCTGATACCTGCCAAATGAAATAGAATGCAGAGAAAGGTAAGTAAGAACATTTTGCACATAAGAACTAGGAGGAAGATTCACACGAAACTGTGAGGCTTTAACAGTAGAGCACTAGGAAGACCTAGAAATTCAAATAAATAAATCTTTCCATGTCGAATACCAGGATAAGCAGCCTGAGACACATCCCACGTGACAGAGCATTAGGCATACATCCAGTACCTCCTAAATCACACATTCACTGTATATTGCAGGCATCTGTCATCTTCCATTCTAACCTGGATGATCCACTCAAAGTGCACTAAAAATCTGAACAATTCAGTGATTTAGCCCTTTAAGAATAAATTTGCACCAACTGCATTTCAGGACCAAACTTGCTCTAAGAGTGAATTCTTGATGAGGACAAACACTACAGTTTCTTAGTCTTTTCCACAATAGCTTCATGCACACCACGGCTATTCAATTGATAATCAAGTCCAGTTTACTGAATCTTAATGAAGGCTCTTGAGATACGGTGATAGTGTCTCTACCTCGGAGAGGAGAGGCCTTGGCTCAAGTCCCTCGGAGATAGCAAGAACTGCAGATGCTGGAGTCAAAGTCGGTAGAGTGTGAAGCTGGAGGAACACAGCAGGTCAGGCAGCAACGTTTTGGGCCTAGATCCTTCATCAGGACTGGGGGAAGGTAGGTGGGATGGCAAGAGGTGAATGCAAGTAGGTGCAGTGGGGATTGATCAGTGGGAAAGATGGAGCGGATAGGTGGGGAAGGAGATGGACAGGTAGTGTCAGGTCAAGGAGGTGGGGATGAGAGGGAGGGTTGGCCATGGGATGGGGCTGGGGTGGGGAGATTTTGAAACTGGTGAATTCCATGTTTAGGCCACCAAGCTGTAGGTTCCCGAGGCGGAATATGAGGTGTTGTTCCTCCAGTTTGTGTGTGGCGTCATTGTGGCACTGGAGGCGGCTCAGGATAGACATGTCACCAAGGTAGTGGGCGGGGGAGTTAAAATGGTTAGCAACCGGAAAGTGTTGTTGATTGTAGCATACGGAGCGCAGGTGCTCCACAAATCTGTCACTGAGTCTATGTTTGGTCTCACCGATATAGAGCAGGCCATATCGGGAGCAACAAACACAGTAGAGCAGGTTGGAGGATGTACAGGTGAACTCCTGTTGGATATGGAAAGTTTGGTTTGGGCCTCAGATAGAGGTGAAAGGGGAGGTGTAGGGGCATGTGTAGCACCTCTTGCAGTTGTAGGGAAAGGTGCCGGGTCTGGTGGGATTGGTGGGGAGTTTGGAGCAGACGAGAAAGTCGTGGAGTAAGCAGTCACTCCAAAAGCCAAATAGGGGTGGGGAGTGAAATATATCTTTGGTGGTGGGGTCGGATTGTACTTGGTGGAAGTGGCGGAACATGATGCGCTGGATGCGGAGGTTGGTGGGGTGATATGTGAGGATAAAAAAGGTCCTGTCTTTATTTTTGTTGGGGGCAGGGGTTTTGAGGGCAGAAAAGATGCGGTTGAGGGCATTTTCAGTCAACAGAGGGGGGAAGTTGCGGTATTTGAAGTAGAAGGACGTGTGGGATGCCTGGGAGTGGAACACTCCATCTTGGGGAATTGGTAGTGAGGGATCGCATTCTTGCAGGAGGGTGGGCAAAACGGGGTGTAGTCAAGGTAGCTGTGGGAGTTGTTTGGTTTGAAATAGATGTTGGTGCTGAGATAGTTACCAGATATGGAGACGGGGGGTCCAGGAAGGGGAGGGAGATATTGGAGATGGTCCAGGTGAATTTGAGGTTGGGATGAAAGGGACCACAAGGCAGCACCAATTCAGTCATCAATGTAGCGGAGGAAGAGGTGAGGGGTGGTGCCAGTGTAACCATGGAAGAGTCAAGTCTCATCTGTTTCAAAGGTATGTTATGTCATATCTGGACAGGTTGATTAAAAAAATCTAATTAAATTTACAAATTAGCCCAGCACTCAATCATAGTACTGTTAATCATGCTGCTCATGTAAATAATTAATTCAACAGTCTTGAACTGTCAATTCTCCAGATCTGTTCAGCAAGAACTGCTCTTTCTCTCTTGTATTAGATACCTCAATTTCCAAAATACAAGCTACTTTACATTAAATGTGTGCAATATGTTGGGTGGATGAGATGGTTAGACACTTTGAATCACACCAGGTAAATGTTCATAATTCAGAGATTTGTCACCTTCTAAGCTCCTTTGGACTGGAGTTCCTGTGACACACCAACGATTGATGGCACTTAGCCGTAGACACATTTCTGCTGCCTAGGGAAAAAAAGACAGGGACACAATGGAGGAGATATTTCTGTGCAGATTCATGCAAAAATTCTCGTATCTCAAAGTGGCTTCAATTTCATTTGTCCTCACTGGGTTCGGAAACTTACATATTAAAGATGATTTATTTTAAAGACAAACAGACTTGTATTTATATATAGTATGTGTCACAATCACAAAACATCCCAAAACATTTTGCTGACAATGAAACATATTTTGTAGAAGTACGGACATTGATGTAAATATGGAAATGTTGGAACCAGACTGCTCATAAGAACGGGATAATGACCAGTTAATCTGATTTTTTGCAATGTTGATTAAGGATAAATAGTGGCCAGGCCATCAAGAAGTTCCCAGTCGGTTCTTCCCTGAAATAGTGAAGTGTTATCTTTAACACCAACACGAGATGGCAGATGATAGATTTTATGTTTAACTGTCTGAAGTGGGGATGGAATCCAGGACCTTTTGGCTCAGAGGTGAGAGTGATACTGACTGAGACAGACCTAAGGGAGATATTTTTTAAATCAATCTGTTCAGAGATGTTTAAACACATCTCTGGAGCAAGTGGGCCTCCTGGTCCAGAGGTAGGTATAGTATCACTGTGCCACAGCTCTTCGAGACAGGCCTGACATTTTATGGCAAGACCCTCATCACCTGTGGGCTATTAACAACAAATAGTTTGGCATAGTTACAGATACTGCACTTTTGCTGTCACAACGACAAGACAATACATATACTGTATGAACGTTAAACATCAGTCTTCAAAATACAGAACAAATATCTGGTCTGCTAAATCCATTACCAGAATTCTGCAATTGACACAGTGACAACAGAGTTCAAATTTGGTTCAGAGTAGTGGGAATAAAAAACCTCCTATAGAGGTTTAGAAGAGGGAGGGTTGGGGGGGAAAAAGTGAAATTGAAGGCAAAGGCCTTCTGCAAGTTAACATAAACTATAAGATGGGTGTTCACAGTTTAATTTTACATTCCACATGATGAGGCTCATTTGCAGGGGACGTATGTTAGAAACTTGGGCCTGCATTACAAGCAATTCTTCAACCTTTAAATGGATAAAGAACTGACTCGAAGGTAGAAGACTAGTGATGGAGGGTTGCTTTTCAGACTGGAGGCCTGTGACCAGTGGTATGCCACAAGGATCAGTGCTGGGTCTACTGCTTTTCATCATTTATGTAAATAATTTGGATGTGAACATAGGAGACATGGTTAGTAAGTTTGCAGATGACACGAAAATTGGAGGTGTAGTGGACAGCAAAGAAGAATACCTCTGAGTATAACGGGACATTGATCAGATAGGCCAATGGGCCTAAGAGTGGCAGATGGAGTTTAATTCAGATAAATATAAAGTGCTGCATTTTAGAAAGGCAAATCAGGGCAGGACTTATACATGTAATGGTAAAGTCCTGGGGAGTGTTGCTGAACAAAGACACGTTGGAGGGCAGGTTCATAATTCCTTGAAAGGGGAGTCACGGGTAGATAGGATAATGAAGGTGGTGTTTGGTATGCTTGCCTTTATTGGTCAGTGCATTAAGTATAGGAGTTGGGAGGTCATGTCCTGTACAACTGCAACATTAGTTTGGCCACTTTTGGAATACTGCATTCAATTCTGGTCTCTCTGCTATAGGAAAGATATTGTGAAACTTGACAGGGTTCAGAAAAGATTTAAGGATGTTGCCAAGGCTGGAGGGTTTGAGCTATAGACAAAAGCTGAATAGGTTCAGGCTATTTTCCCTGGAGCGTCGGAGGCTGAAAGGTGACCTTATAGGGAGGTTCATAAAATCATGAGCGGCATGGATAGGGCAAATAGACAAGGTCTTTTCCCTGGGGTTTTTTTTTTGGGGGGGGGGAGGTGGAGAAAGAATCCAGAACTAGAGGGCATAGGTTTAAAGTGTGAAGGGAAAGATTTAAAAGGGACCTAAGGGGCAACTTTTTCATGCAGAGGGTGGTGCGTGTATGGAATGTGCTGCCAGAGGTAATGGAGGCTGGTACATTTACAACATCTAAAAGGCATCTGGATAGGTATATGAACAGTAAGGGTATAGAAGGATACGGACCAAATGCTGGCAAATGGGACTAGATTTATATATGCTATCTGCTTGGCATGGACGAGTTTTACCGAAAGGTCTGTTTCTGTGCTGTACATCTCTATGACTCTAATGGTTGAAAAATCATGCAACAAACTCAACTTCCCCATCAGTAATGCAATATCAGAAACAGATCACTTTTGATTAGAAGGGTTCTTCCTTCTACATTCACACCTTAGCAGTGGCACATTCCACCATTTGAGCCTCATCCAGACAGATTCTCCACCACTCCACTGCAACCAATGGGCTTGGAATGGCCATATACCGCTTCTCTTTGCGTAACCGGCGTCCATCATCACTATTGCTGTGGGGAATGTCGACATAATTTAGCTCGGATCGGAGCACATCATAGGTTGTAATGACTATCTCATGTTTTGCTAGTGCATGAGGTTGGATAAAGCCATGCTTCTTCACTCCTTGGTACACCTGTGGAGACAAAGTCAGAAACGTGAAGGTGTTACTCCAAGAAAGTAAAGTACTCTAAAATAGAATAGCAACCAGTCAAATTGGAATGTATGCAATTACTCAAGAACTACTAATTAAATTAACCAATTTCATTGTAAAAGTTTATCTGTCAAATATCTTCTGCACATAAACCAACATTTTCCTAGCTACCATCAGTTCTGAGGAAGGATCTCTCGACCCAAAATGTTAACTCTGATTTCTCTCCACAGATGCTGCCAGACCTTTGGAACTTTTCCAGCAATTTCTATTTTTGGCTCTGATTCACAGTACTTGCAGTGCTTTCAGTTTTTACTGTAATACAACAAATCAGCAGCAAAGATACAATACACCTAAGCTGCACTCAAAGTGCTTACAACAGAATTGTTCTTAACTTGCCTCTATTAGATAACTGTTTCAGAGACAGCAGGAACTGCAGATGCTGGAGAATCTGAGATCACAAGGTGTAGAACTCGATGAACACAGCAGGCCAAGCAGCATCAGAGGAGCAGGAAAGCTGATGTTTTGGGCCTAGACCCTTCAGAAAAAAATTTC